GCGTGACGGGGCTGGCGGTGCGCGCGCCCTAGTGTGTATCTGTGTGTGTGTGTGTGTGAGAGAGAGGGAGGGGGTGAGGGTTCGGGCAGGGGGGGGGGAGGCCGCCCTTGTTCGTAACCCAGAGCGGCGGGGAAAAGAGGAGGAGGAGGAGGAAGAAGGAAGGCGGGAGAAGGCAGTGAATGGTGTTTGGTTACAACCGGAGGGGACGGCGCGACAGGCGGAGCGGCAGCGACAGCCTCCTCTCCTCCTCCTCCTCCCTTCTCTCTTCTACCCCCCCTCCCTCCGCGACCAGCAACCGCCCGCCTGTCGCCGACAGCCCAAGCGAGAAGAGGAAGCGGAGGGGCGGCGGCGGCGGGACGGAACAGCCGGACAACTTGGAACCCTCGCCCTCCGCCCCCCTCCCCTCGCTCTCTCTCTCACCCCCCGCCCCCCGCCCCCCCGCGCGCGCTTTCCTCCCTTTCCCCTGCGCGCGCCCTTTAATCCTGCCCGGCTACGGTCGCTGCTGCTGCTGCTGCTGCTGCTGTTGGCGGGGGACGGAACAGGCGGACCGGCGGCTCTTCCCTCTGCCGTTGCTTTTCTACTACCCCCCCCCCGTCCCTTTCCCCCACTTTCTTCTTTTCTTTCCTGGGGAGGAGGAGGAGGAAGGGGGGGCGGACCCTTTTCGCGGTGGACGAAGAGGGAAAGGGGTTTCTTCCCCCACACCCCCCACCCGCTGGACGGTCCTTTTGCACAGCTCGGTGTGTCCTCCCGCCCCCCTTTCTGACCTTTGGAAAACTTGGGGGTTGCCTGTGCACGCACACACCTTCCTCATCCTGCACACCCACACCCCTCGCACAACCCACCCACCTGGCCTCTTTCTTCATCTCCTTTCCTCCCCCTCCCTCACCCCACCCCCCCAACAATATGCCTTCTGACTTGGCCCCTGCTGCCCGCCAGGCTGAGACCCAGAGGTGCTCCACCTGCCAGGAGGATCTGAACAGGCCGTAGGAGGAGAAGAAGAAGAAGACAGTTGCCCCTCTTGCTGTTTTATTGCATGGTGATGGTGATGGTGGTGGTGGTTGATCTTTAGAAAGGTGGACTGGACCTCCAACCGGCCTGCTTTCCGCATGGATCCAGATAAAGCGTGCCCCTGGTCCCGAGGAGGAGGAGTACCGGCCTGCTGACCTCGCCACACACCTTTCAAACCTACATCCAAAGCGGATTTGCCTGGGCCACACCTCCTCCTCATTTCTGGGGAGGGAGAGTGGGGAGAATGGTCTCCAGACAGGTTCGCTGAGAGACCTCAGTCGTCTTGCGCCTTGGCGATGTTCTCCACAGAAAGACCCCCGGCAACGTTGCCCCCTTTGCCATCCAGGGGGTTAGGCATGTTCGGTTAGTGCCTTGTGGGGTATATATATATGTCTGTGTGTGTGTGTGTGTGTGCATGTGCATGGAGAGAGCGAGAGGGGCAGGGCGATCCCTGGGTTGAGATGCATCCCATAGAAATGCTCAGTGATGTGATGTGAAGGTGATAAGAGCCCCCTTGCCCCAAAAGGGATAACCTTTAACCTTGGTTGTATCAGGTCCTGGCTTGTCTGCTGTTTAATCTCGTGCTGATTGGGGTTTGAGTTCCGTGCAGTAGAAGAAGTGGGAATTAGCCTCAAAATATCCTAGTCTTAATAAACATACAGTGAGATTCCCGTCTTTTCTAATTCATCCGTTCAGTACAAGATGCGAGCCTTGGATGTAAGGTTTGGGCTTATTTTTGCTGTCCCATGATGGATGTTGGGATCCTGTTACCCAGAAATTTCCCAGTTTAAATTTTTTTTTTGTTTGGAGTGGAGATGTGATTTAACAGAAGTTATTAAATTCCAGTGGGTGGGGTGGGGGGGGAATGCTGTTAAAAGCGCAGTGGGGGAACTAAAGTGACAGTTCTGTTTGTGCACATGGCCATTCATAGTCTGGCCTCATGGATGTGATGAGAAGTGGCAGGGCAGTTCGTTTACGTGCGGTATTAGATATTGTTTCTCTCTCTATAGAAGCAGACGTGTCCGTAGACTGCACGATATAGTTAACGATTATATAATTTGTGACACGAGTGGGATTTGAATCCACATTTTTTAGACCATTGCTTTGTGTGAAGACAGCATTTGTAAACTTAAGGCAGTTGTTCCAGGTGACCAGATGTGGAAGAGGGTGTTTACGGTACACCAGGACTCTTAAATCTTGTATTCAACTTGTATAGCTTCAAACTACTACTCCTGTGTGCAGTTATTTCTCTTTTTTTTGGTCACGTGTTTTTGGTAGTTTTTTCTTCACTTGATGTGGCTTCAATCTTGGAAGCTGAATCTTTTACTTCTTTGCTTGGGGTGGGGCTAATGCTAGGACTCCTGATAGCCTCTGGTTGTTATATTTAAGATCCTTGTTTCTTGTTTTGCGGTGGGTGGGTGTTTTTAATGTTTCTGGTCCTTGTTTCTACTCTCCTCCTTCCTTCCCCCTTTAATCCTTCCTCCTCCTCCTGCATAGGGATGTGGTCACCAGCGGAGGACAGGAAGCGACTGAGCCAGCGCTTCCCGGCAGAGTCCGACCACGATGCACTCAGTGCTTTTAATAATTGAGTTAACTTTACACGCAAGTGCAGGGGGGGGGGAGGAGGAGAGGGGAAGCAATGTAGCTGATCCATTAAGGACTACAAGGAAGGGAAGAGGAAGGATGGGGAAAGAGGTATTTTGTTCGACAGGTAATGCGTCCCCTGTTGGAGCAGGTCTGCTTCATTCTCTCCCCCCCCCAATATTTAATCACTAATGGCAAAGTTTTAGTTTTCAGCAAGTACTTCAAAGGGGTTTTAACCCCCCCCCCCCAGGAAACAAATTGCAGATGCAAATCTGTAGCAAAGGTGATCTAAGTCCCTTCAGCCGTCAAGCTGCTTACTAGTATATCTCAGTCCCTGGCAGCAGCAAATGAAGGAATCATCTGCCCCATTATCTCTTTCGGGATCTTTTGAATGGGGATGCCAAGACACAGGCCTTCTTTACGCATGCAAACCCGGTTTGCGTTTGTTTCCTAACCTTCCCCGTTAACTGAAATGCTAAGGACAGAGGTGTTCTTGTGCTGGGGAGGCCTTTAACCCTTCCAACGCTCCCTTTTACGACCCTGTAATCCCTAACCCTCCGACACTATTCTTGTTGTTGATTCGGTCATTTGTGTCCGATTGGCAGTCTCTGGGAATTGGACACCCTTCACTCCCTAGGGCAGTGTTTCTCAACCTTGGAAGCTTGAAGATGGGTGGACTTCAACTCCCAGAAACCCCCAGCCAGCGCTGCTGGCTGGGGGATTCTGGGAGTTGAAGTCCACCCATCTTCAAGCTTCCAAGGTTGAGAAACACTGCCCTAGAGTGTAGCTAAAACGTGATTGTTTCAGGGTTGCTGAATCTTCCTTTATCCAGCTCTGGATGTTCCTTGCAACACTGAGTTATCCTGCGGTGGGATGATTGATACCAGTTGTGGCTCCTGCCCATCCTACTGAACGCTCTTATTGCTTTTGATGATTGAAAGTCCAAATGGCTGATCTGCACAGGCTACACTACAATCAGTGTTCGGTTAAGAGTTGGGTTTTTTTTTTTAGTAAACATGACAGTCATGGTCTGTTGGCCGGATGCAAAACTCTGGTCCGTTCACACCTGTTGCTGTGTTAAGCTATGATTTCACAGTTATAGTACAGGTAGTCCTCGACTTAATGACCACAACGGAGCCCAAAGTTTCAGTTGTTAACATGAGATATTTGTTAAGTGAGTTTTGTCCCATTTTACGACCTTTCTAGCCACAGTTGCTAAGTGAACCACTGCCGTCGCTAACTTAGAAACACGTTGGTTGAGTGAATCTGGCTTCCCCATTGACTTTGCTTGCAGTCAGAAAGTCGCAAAAGGGGATCCCATCACCCCTTTTGGACACAGCAACGGTCATAAGATATGAACCAAGTGGCCAAGCATCTGAGTTTTTGATCACTTGACCACGGGGGGATGCAGCAGAGGCCGTAACTGTGAAAAAAGGGTCACAAGTTCCGTTGTAACTTTGAACGGTCACTTAAATGAATTGTAAGTCTGTATTGACAAGGGAATGTCGCTTATTGGCAATTAGAGTTCGTTGTGAAATGTGGTTTTGAGGATGTTGTAACTTTGTGTGTGTGTGTGTGTATTCAGGCCTGTCTTATTTGTCCCTTTGTCTTGGCCTTTTCCTGGAGACCCCAAGAAGGAAGTATTGCTCAGCTTGATATGGGGGTAGCAGGAAGCGATGGGAGGGCAGGAGAATTTGCAAGTGCACCACAAAGTTCTTCATTTCGGCTCTAAATTGCCTGCAAGTAGGACCTGACCACCTCTGTCTACACAAAAGGAGCCCCCTCCCCAATCCCCGAAACCCCTGTATACAGCCTGGGTTGTGTTTGGCTATCTGTGCCCTGCACCGCTTGAGCTCTTGAGGATGCTCCCAAGCTTTCTAGTTGGGTGGAAGCCAAACGGCTTGGCTGCCCCAAGTGAGCGTGGGAGTCTGAGCAAGCGGGGCCCCTCAGCCTCTCCCTCCCCTTCCCCTCCTGCAGCTGTAAAATTCCTTTGCCTGGCTTCCAGCTGGGAAGGGCGGAGGACAGCCATGGTTGCTTCCTGGCAGGCGGAGAAGAAAATCTCTCCCCCCCCCCCGGGCCCCTTCCTCGGGGGGACTCGAGTGACTAACCAGTGATAAGGCATGGCACAAACGGTGACTAGAAGGACTGAAAATCGTAGAGGGAAAAACAAGGCATCTCTGCCAGGGAAAGGGAGGGAACTTTTAAAGGGAAGGGAAAGCAGCGTAGTCCGAGTTCCCTAGTAACCCAACTCTCATCAATTCTGGGCTCCTGTTCTTTGCCATGCAACTGAACCTCACTCTGTTTTTATTCTTTTCTATTTTTTTTTCCGAATTACCGGACTGAGTTGGCTGATGAAACACTTTTTGTGTGTGTGTGTGTGTGTTTTTTTTCTCCCCACCTCCTTCCAGTGTGGACAAATGTGGAGCCTCGATCTGTGGCCGTGTTCCCATGGCACTCACTAGTGCCCTTCCTGGCGCCAAGCCAGCCAGATTCCTCCGTGCAGCCCAGTGAAGGCCAGCAGCCCGTCAGTCATCCGTCCACATCCAATCAGAACAAAGGTAAGGTGGGCCAAGGGGAAAAAAGAGAGCGTATGCACAGATTTCCTTCTAAAGCAGGGGTCTCCAAACCTGGCAACTCGGAAGACTTGCAGACTTCAACTCCCAGAATTCCTCAGCCAGCCATTGCTGCTGAGGAATTCTGGGAGCTGAAGTCCACAAGTTGCCAAGTTTGGAGAGCCCTGCCCTAAAGTCTTTGGGTAGGAGAACTGCTGCTGAAGAGACACTCTGGAAGTGTGAGTGAAGTGATGCCTTTGCTTGCACAAATAAGTAAGGCAAACTTTGTGATAACTCATCCCTGTAGAAACAGCCCCCTGATTCCAACCTTGGCGTTTATGTTTTCAGAACCTCCTGAATCGGCTGCTGTGGCCCATGAACTCCCCGGGTTGTCTTCAGAGGCCGATAGTGCAGGGAGGCCAACCCCCTCGCACCCCGACAGTCCCACTCCAGTTGCCCAACCTTCTACGGTGATCCCAGGAGGAAGCGGAGTTCCATCTCAGCATGATGATGACCTCCCAGGACACCCGCGCCTAGACAGCGAGACGGAGAGCGACCATGACGACGCGTGAGTATATACCCCTGTTTTGGGTGGTTATATCTCTCATTAGGCTGCTCGGACAACCCACCATACCCTTCGTAGCGGCGCTTCCTCCTGTTTGATGATGTGGCAGCCTTTCGCACAGTTCGCGTTTTGCACAGCGATCCTTTGCCGCTGGATTCCGGGAGGGTTGCTGGTTGTGATTTGAAGCATAGTGGGAATTGGACGTGCAGCTGGAGGCAACCCCTTGAGGGAATGAAATTGAGCCACGCCTAGGAGAGAACATCTTGGGAAGGAACTCACAGGGAAATAGAAGCAGGAGTGAATGGAGGGTGTGGCCAAAAAAAGCCCAGATGCTAGTTGTGGCAGAGAGATTGACACCTTCCCCACCTCTTTTTCGTATGTGGGAAGGAAGGGAAGACGGAAGGAAGGACAGAAGGGAAGGAGGGATGGAGGGAAGGAAGGAAGGAAGCGGGGAAGGGAAGGAAGGAAGGATGGAAGGAAGGACAGGAGGGAAGGAGGGAAGGAAGGAAGGAAGGAAGGAAGGAAGGAAGGAAGGAAGGTGTGGTGCCCAGAAGTGTTGAAACTGCTGGGAGGTCTCTGGGATAGGCGGCAAGAAATGGGGATGCTTCCTTTGGGCCTTCACCTGATGTTTTCATACCTAGGTTCCTATCCATTTCATCTTCTGAGATCTCAATCCCACTACTGCCAGGCAAGCGGCGCACCCAATCCCTGAGCGCACTGCCAAAAGAGCGCGATTCCTCTTCCGAGAAGGATGGTCGCAGTCCAAACAAGGTGGGGGGGCTTTTTTCTTTTTTCCCCTCCCCCCCTTCTCCTTTCCATCTCCTTAACCCACTTTTGTAGGAACTATTCCAGGAGGGAAATTTTTTTAAAAAAAGACTCTTCGGCCACCCCGTTGCTTTTACTTGCGAAAACGTTCTACCCAAATTCATTTTGTTCTGCCTTGGGGTAACGTAACTGTGGCTCTTTTTCTCTTACATTCCGTCTCTTCTCTTCTTTTTTGGTAGAGAGAAAAGGATCACATTCGGCGGCCCATGAACGCTTTCATGATATTCAGTAAGCGACACCGGGCCCTGGTGCACCAACGGCACCCCAACCAAGACAACCGTACCGTCAGCAAGATCCTGGGCGAGTGGTGGTACGCTTTGGGGCCCAAGGAGAAGCAGAAGTATCACGACTTGGCCTTCCAGGTAAAGCCTCGTACAGCGCCTTGGTCAGAAAGTGAGGTCAAGGGTCCGAGCTCTGCTCAGGCGTGCCACTGTCTTATTAGCTCAGCTGGCGTAATTCAGGATCAGCGTTGTCCGGTGTTCCGCCTCTTGAGAAGTGACTGCAGCCCATTTCCAAGTAAGGGAGGAAATATGATGACAGCTCGGATTGAAATGAATCATCCAATATGGGCATTTCAGCAGAACTTTTCAGTTCCCAGAAAATCCTGGCTTTTGTGCAATTTTAAAAGATGAGCTTTATCTCCGGTGGCAACCACGATGAGAGTGTAGACGAAGCTTAAGTGAAATCTCAGAATTGGCCAGAGAAAAGATCTCCAACGCTGGCCAGCAGGCCGTCATTGTCTTAAGACAGATTTAGATAGGAAACTGGCTTCAAACTCGGTGAAGCTGTGCAGATTGATGGGAATTGCGCAGATATACAGGGGCTGTGGTTTCACAGCAGTTGAGAATCTTCCACAGTGTGGAATCTTTGCAGCGGGAGCAATGACTGGTTCCAGCTGAGCCCTCAACATCTGGATCCTCTCTGCTTGCAGTCTCTCTCATTCTCCCCCATCTTCCTCTCAGTCCTCACTGTTTTCTTCCCTCATCTTCTCCCCCCACCCACCCCCAAAAGGTGAAAGAAGCCCATTTTAAAGCACACCCCGACTGGAAGTGGTGTAACAAAGATCGGAAGAAGTCTAGTTCGGATATAAAATCTGCCGGGCCAGGCGGTTGCCCCAAAGAGATGCGTGAACGTAGCATGTCAGAGACAGGTACTTTTACTTTACATCAGAGGTCTTCAAACTTGGCAGCTTGAAGACTTGTGGACTTCAACTCCCAGAATTCTGGGAGTTGAAGTCCACAAGTCTTAAAACTGCCAAGTTTGAAGACGTCTGCTTTACATGGAGGTGAGCTCCTTTCATGTCACCAGCTGCCCCTGGTGGGGCTCCTCTAGATTTTTCTTACTTTTTTCCTCTTCCTTTTTTTTTTTCCCTTTCTTTCCTTTCATCAGTTGCTTCTGAAATGCTGTTGGGCCCAGACGTCAAAGCAGGTGTCATGGGATCCGGGCATTGCCATGGGGAGCGAATCCTGCCCTCAGCCTCTGATGCTCAGCGTCCACGGGCCTTTTCCCACAGCGGTGTGCATGGCATGGACAGTGACCGGGATAATCAGGTGTTGCAAGAGCTTACCCAGGTAAGTCAGCACAAGGAACCACAGGGCAACGGGAATCGAAGAAGCTTATTATGGGATGGTTGGGCTGTGCTTGTCCTTAGAATTCAGGAGGCTTTGGGTCAACATGGAGGGTAATGTTGCTGTTTGCAAATACTGTGACTTCTGTCTCAGTTGGAAAAGTATTTGGTGGCCAGAGCAGAGCGTCCTTAAGTTTTTAGAAATGGTGAGATCTACAGTGGGTGGAACAATGACATAAAGAAAGTGGAGCTACACAATATACACATATGGTTGAGATTTATTTCCTAGATATTCTAGACCGGCCTACTCTTCTCTTTTATTTATTAATTATTTATTTATTAGTTCGATTTATATGCCGCCCTTCTCCGGAGACTCAGGGCGGCTTACAATGCGTTAAGTAATAACCTTCATACTTTTGTATATACCTGCTTAGTAGGGCTTTCGCCCCCCCCCAAGCGGTGTTCTTTTTTATACAAAGTCCACGTATTTCCCCCACAATCCGGGTCCTCTTTTTACCTACCTTGAAAGGATGGAAGACTGAGTCAACCTTGAGCCCGCTGAGATTTGAACTCGCAGTAATTGCAGGCAGCTGGCAGCTAAGTAGTACTTTAACAGCACTTAGTCCACTGTGCCACCAAGGCTCTTTTAACCTCATTGATTAAACCTAATGTGATTGGAGGGTTTTGTGGCGGCTCAGCAAAAGTTTGAAGGATGCAGGCTATCCTGGAATGTCAGGTTGTCCATCACAATTTAAGATTTATGTCCGTCTGCGGGTCGCCCATTATGTCCTTCGATTGCATCCTCTGTCCTGCATCCCTCTCTCTCTCTCTCTCTCTCTCTCTCTCTCTCCCTCCCCCCCCCCCCCCCCCTCCCTCCCTCCCTCCCTCCCTCCCTCCCTCCCTCCCTCATTCTCATACACATAATATGAAATGGCAGAAATGCAGCACAGAGTTGGTACTCTAGACAACACAAGAAAGGTGGAGCTTCTAACTTCTGTTAACGTCATCTGATCAACTGCACTTTTTCGTTTCCTTCAGCCAGTTGTTGGGAGCAGCTGGTCTCGGAGGGCCTCACAGGTGCCAAGCCATGAAGGCCTTCCTAAACCACAACCAGGAACTTGAATTGTACCTGGAAACGAATTAGCAGCCCTTTACAGAGCTTGGCATATCGGTGTTCTGTGCGCCCAGTGCAAACCCCCCACCCCCTGAAGATTTTGTCTTCAACGACCATTAGAAGTTGCCTCTCCATGTCTTTTAACCGTTGACTCTCTTGGTCTTTCAGATTTGCTCGGGACAGTCTCCGTATGCCAGCGGGAAGGGTCAGTATGGGGGGCTGGGCCCCTCAGGGTCCCCCTTTGCAACCCCAGGCGAGGGTCCCCGTCATTCCCTGCACCCACATTCCTCCCGTGCCTCTCGTTCTCAACGCACAACCAGTGAGGACATGACCAGCGACGAGGAGCGCATGGTGATCTGTGAGGAGGAAGGGGACGATGACGTCATTGGTGAGGACCCCATACCCGAACTGCTCCTGGGCTTTTTACAGCATAGACCAGTGTTGGCAAACACTTTTTGGCACTGAATGCCGAAACGGGAGCGCTTGCCGGGGTGGGGGGGTGCAGGAGCGCTGGAAACCGGAAGAGCAGCTCCCTGGCATGCATGCGCACGCTGGGAAGCTGAGCTTCCGGTTTCCTGTGTGCGCATGTGCGCCGGTCACCTGGTCTTCCAGTTTCTGCTGGCATGCAAGCTCAGCTTCCCAGCGCACCAGGGAACTGCTCTTCCTGTTTCCAATGCTCCCGGGCACGCAAAGACCAGCTGGCTGGAACCCAGAAGAGCAACGGGTGATGGCTGGTGTGCCCAGAGAAATGGCTCTGTGTGCCACTTCTGGCATGTGTGCCACAGGTTCACCATCGCTGGCATAGACTTTTGACCTTAAATCAGAAGTCAGGTGGTTTTCTCATGCAGCTCAAGGAGAGTCTTCCAGAAACAAACAGAAGCCAGCAACATTTTGAGAGAGGTTTTCAGTCGTTTTAAGAAACACGCCTTAAATATTTCTTAAATGCCCCTTAAATTCCCCATACGCAATACAGGTAGTCTACAACTTATGACTGCTCAGTTAGCAACTGAAGTTACGAAAGATCCCCAAAAAGGCTACCACCCAGATTCAAAGAATTAGGTAGCTACAATTTATAATGTTTTATTTTTACCAGAAATTAGCGCTTATTTCTGGGTTTTGGCAAACACCCCCCCACAAAACGCCATTGTGAATGATGGGTTTGCTTAGCAACCATGAATTCACTTAACCACCGTGTTGATTCATTTAATAACCACTGCAAAAAATGTCATCAAATTGGGTCGATCGTGTGATGAATCCACTTAACAACCGACGTGATTTGCGATTTATTACAGTCGTAAATGAAGGACTATTTTCATCCAAAGATTTAACTGTCCCCTTTACTTTTTACCCTTTCTGATGAGGCTCTGAGGGCAATTAAAGGGGTGGTCAATTAAAGGGATTCTGAGGGCCCCAATCAATTGGCCTGCTTTATATTATGAATAGCTGATTTCTGAAAAAATTGTTCTCCAGAAGCTAAAAAATTAACTCTGCCAAGTAGAGACGTACATAGGATGAGATAAGGGAGAGATGTGAAATAAATACTTGTGGATAGAAGATGTTAGCGCACCTTGGATTGCCTTGACTACATAGTTTGACATTTACCAACGATAGCTAGAAATTAAAAGGCGCTTCTTTTTTTAGCAGCAAGATCATCTCTGAGAAACATTTTTAACTTGTTAATACTGACCCAAACTTAATTCCAGGACTGTAATGCATGAGCCACTTTCCTTTAAAATTGGGATTTAGAATAGAATTACCCTGTTTCTCTCAAAATAAGACATCCCCTGATAATAAGCCCAATTGGGCTTTTGAGCACATGGCAATAAGGCCAAGCATTTATTTCAGTGTTCAAAAAAATATAAGACAGGTTCTTATTTTGGGGGAAACATGGTAGAATAGAATTAGGAATAGGAATAGGAATAGGAACAGATAGAACAGAACAGAACAGAACAGAATAGAATTCTTTATTGGCCAAGTGTGATTGGACACACAAGGAATTTGTCTCCCGTGCATAAGCTCTCTGTGTACATAAGGAGAATAAATTACATTCATCAAGAATAAAAAGATACAACACTTAGTGATAATCAAGGTTACTAATAAGCTATCAAATTGTACTAGGAAGCAAGTAAAACCAATATAAATTGAAAGATACAAGCAACATGGTTATAGTAATAAGTGGGAAGAGATAGACACTAGTAAGGAAGAGAATAATAATAATAATACTTTTAACAGCTGCCAGAATAAAATATAATAATCAGATTCCCTTAGGTGGAATCCGTTTTAGGAAATAGAAATTGGATATAAGGTAGAGCCTATTTTCATTATGAACAAAAAATAAGTGGTTCGGCAGCAGTGAAAATATTTTTTGTGGAGAAAATCCCAAAGTTCAGTCACTGTATGCCAAGAAATCCTGAAGAATCCTTGCTTGCCGGTGCCGAAAACAATGAGCTGTGCACCAGAGCTCAGGTTGTGTGAAAGCAATAAGACTGGGAGAACCCACAATTCCTGCTTAAAAGAAGATCTGATTGTATTCTTAGTAATCTTGATAATAATGGATCTGAATGTCCTGTCCCAAAAGTGTTTTTTTTTTCCCTTCAAAAGGCAACTGGACTTCCTTAGACTAGAATATGGAGTGATAGAATCGGAAGGGACCTTGGGGAAGGGACCATCTAGTCCCACCCCCTCCTCAGGCAGGAATCCCTGTTCCATTTCAGACTGCAAGTGGCTGTCCAGTCTCTTCTTAAAAGCCTCCAGTGATGTTGTTCTTGTTTTCCTTGAAGATGTTTTGTTTCTCATCCAAGATGCTGAGAATGGAAAGATTTATATTCCTTGCAGTCATCTAGTCGTTGAAGGAAAAACAACAACAACAACAAAGTCCAGTTTGTCTTTTGAAAAGAACACTTTAGGGACAACCATGACCTGGATGACTGAGAATCTCCACAGATGTCTGAATGCACTGTTTCAAAGCTAGGTGGTGGCCGGTTAGGAACCAGGCATTTCGGCCTACCATCTTCCCCTCTGCCTTTGCAGTGGGTTTTTTGTGCCGTAGTTATTTGCCGACTGTCACCTTCATTTCCTGCATTTACTCAGTTCTTTGAGTACTCAGTTCAGCTGGGTATCCTGGACTTGGAATTCCTTCTTTAGAAAACTCTTCTCAGATTTCTAATACTGCGTTTCCCCGAAAATCTGACCTACCCCAAAAGCAAGTCCTAGCTTGATTTTTACACGTGCCCCCAATATAAGCCCTACCCTCAAAATAAGCCCTAATTAAGACCCCACCCACTCCAGGGTGCATGGGTAAAAATTAAGCTAGGGTGAGAATGGGGTGGTGGTGGAGCTGCCCTACTATTTATCTTCGGACAGTTGCAACCAGGCCTTGCACATCTCAACTTCATCATTTCTTCTGCAGCCGGCAAGACTGTTCCTGAAGGCCTCTGTAGCTGATAACAGATCTCCGGATCGATCTGGAGCTCTGTTATCGGCTGCAGAGGCCTTCAGGAAAGTCTTGCTGGCCAAAGAAGTTCCTGAAAGCCTCTGATAGCGAAAAGGAGGCCGTGGGGGGGGGGCTGACGTGCACAAGTGAGGTAAGTCAGTGGATGACATTCTTGCCCCCACCCCCGAAAATAAGACCTGGTGCCTTTTTTGGTGGCAAAAATATATATAAGACAGGGTCTTATTTTCGGGAAAACATGGTATGTGCACTGAACACACACGCTTCCCTCCCGAATCCCTGTTCCGTTGAGCTTGCCTTTGCAGTCAGCAGATCTGCAGATCTGCAGTAACACTATCTCCTGGCAGCCACCCTCTCTGCCTCACATTCTGGAGAGTTTTCATAGGGGAAGTGAGATGGGGAGACAGGATCTTGCTGACTCATTGCTTTCCTCCTGCAGCTGAAGACGGGTTCAATCCAGCTGACGTCGACTTGAAGTGCAAAGAACGAGTGACGGACAGCGATAGTGAAGGATCGTTAGGGGATGAATCTGACAGCAAGGTGTGTGAGTAGCAAGAGGCTGGTTAAGCACAAAAGCTTTTAAGTGCACTGATCAGTACAGAAATCTGTCCCAGTTCCTACCCCACCTGGCAGTTTGAAAGCATGCAAATGCAAGTAGATCAATAGGTACCACTTTGGTGGGAAAATAACAGGGACGTGAAAGGAGCCCCCCTTGGATGTTCCTGGGGCAATGATGATGTCACTGGCTAATGCTTTCAACCCGGAAGCGCATTGGGAGATGAATGTAGTAGTAGTAGTACGGTAGTAGCAGCAGCTGCAGCAGCAGTAGTAATAATAGTAAAACAGAAATGGGGGGCAGGGGTCACAACTCAGTGGCATGAAAAGGCCATTCTGACTAGGGAGTTCTGTGTGAGCACCTATGTATCATGTTTGGAAACATTCACCTTACATTAACCCGTGTGCCATTCTCGTGCATCTGATAGATTGAAGCTGGAGAAAATCTTGTCTCAATTCATCGTGATAGCACTAGCACTTAGATTTACATACCGCTTCACAATGCTTTACAGTCCTCTCTAAGTAGTTTACCAAGTCAGCATATGGCCCCCACAGCAATCTAGGTCCTCATTTTACCGACCTTGGAAGGATGGAAGGCTGAGTCAACCTTGAGCCAGTCAGAATCGAACTGCCGGTAGCCGGCAGTCAAGCAGAATTAGCTTGCAATACTCCATTCTAACCACTGCGCCACCATGTCTCTTGATGAGACTCAAGCTGGGACCCGATCCATTTCAAGGCTGGTCTTCGTTAGGCAGAACATCATGAGAAGGATTTTCCTGGGGCTGTTTTTTTAAGAGCGTTCCCCTTTGCTTGTAGGACTTTGGACGGAAGCTCTTCGCCCCGGTGATCCGGTCAGCAGCCCTGCCTCCTTCTTCTGCCGCCTTTGCCCCATGTCGTCCACCACCTCCTCTGGACTTGGAGCCGCCTCCACCGCCCCCACCCCTACCGCCACCTCACAGTCACCAGGAGCAGCCCCCATCCAAACCTTACAGTTCCTTCCAGATGTCCCCCAGCACCTTCAAGTCCCAAGACTCGCATGCAGCTCTCCGTCCCCACAACACCCCAACCAAGCGGTTAGAGGCCCGCTTTGACCCAGCGGCTGCCCCCTACAGGCGAAAGAGAGCGGACAGCGCAGGCGGTTCCCAGGGGCCTTCTGAGGCCGGGACGGCTCCCCTCTCTGTCCCCGCCCACTCCGTCATCTCTCCGCCCAGCGGGGCGGTGCAGACTCTGGTGCTTCCGGATTCGACCCGCTTGTCCACTGGCACCGTGCTGGTGACAGCCCCATCTCTCAGCACCCCAAACATGGGGGTGATCGGCTACAGCGGATCGCCCAGCTTTGTCCGGACTGCATCCACCGTGGTCACCAACGTGGTCAAGCCAGTTAGCAGCACTCCTGTACCTATTGCCAGCAAACCTTTCCTGCGTGGAACGGGGGACGCACTGCCGCTGGTCAGCCCCCCACCTTCCGACGGCAATGCGAAGCCCGAAGGGATTTCCGTCAGTCGACTCGGCTTGCTCTACGCCGATAAAAAGGTTCCACAGACCTCTGCCATGGCTGGAATCCAAGCCACCTCTCCTCACTTAGTAGCTGGACCGCTTCTTGGCCAAGGCTTGGCTGCCGTGGGGAAGTGCCCCCCGACCCAAGGAAGTGTCGTGACCAATCTCCTGGTAGGAACTCAAGGTTACAGCCAAGCCAGCGGTGCCGGAGGAGCTGGCGTTCCCGTGACTGTTTTGCCACCTGGCGCCATTGCCCAACAGCCTTCTGTCCAGTTCATTACCCAGAATCCCTCCGGACAGAATGGGCCGGTGCCACTTAGCATCCTGCAGCCCCAAGGTATTTTTTCAGGCACAGCAGGAAAGGCTGGGAGCATCACTCAGGTTCAGTACATCCTACCTACATTGCCTCAGCAGCTACAGGTAGCCGGCGGGAAGATTCCAGCAGCAGCAGGCACACCTGCAGCCGCCAGCATTCACTTCACTCTGCCTCCCCCCAACGGAAAAGTCATCACTGCCCCCCAAGGCATCCCCATCATCCAGCCTGCCCCGGGAAGCAACAGCAACAGCGTGACAGTCATGTCCTCAGCACCCAAAGGTAAGCTTTAGACCAGAGCTTGTCCACTCTCTCTCTAACTTTTAAGTCTTGTGGACTTCAATTCCCAGAATTCCCCCAGCATAGCTGGCTGGGGGGAATTCTGGGAGTTCAAGTCCACAGGTGTTAAAATTGCCAAGGTTGGACACCCCTCAGTATTCTGGATCTTTTCATGGAACTGAAGCTTGGGCAACTTTTGTTAGGGACTAGACAATCCTTTTGGGACATCATTTCCCAATATAAATTGATATAAATTGAATTATTAATAATAATAATAATAATAATAATAATAATTTCAAGAGAGATTTCCCTACCTACACAGAGAAACAGAATGACCAAGGGCAAAAAGGCAAGGAAAGCCAGAGCAACTTCCAACTTTATGTAAACTTGACTGCTGCTGACCCCCCACTTTGGCAGCCAATGGAGGGACCGGTCTACCTGGTCTCCGGAAGGTTAGGGCAGGACTGGTCTACTGATCTCTGGCAGATGATAAGATAAGATATAGTGGATAAAGGAGCTTGAGAGTGAACAGGTACTAGGCGAAGGAAGGGTTGTGTTCTGACCTAGGCTTCCCAAAAGCACGAAACTGACTCCTTGTCCCGATAAAACCCCTTTTATTTAGTTTAAAGGGAATTCTTTTCCAGCAAAGTCCCGGCCAACAGTCTTTCAAGAGATTTCACAACTACGGTCCTTTATCAGGCTTGGAGAGCTGCCAGGCCGATATCTTCCAAATGCCATTCTGTAACAGACAATACTTGGCAAGAAGTCAGGAACAGATTTTCACCCTAATGAATTGAACTAATTGTCTCCTGCAAACTCCCCCCCCCCCCTTTGCTCCTCTTTATTCCCTCTGGGAGGGGCCATTCACCATCCACCTGTTGCTTTACTCCTGAGTCGACCCTCGTTCCTTAGCTGTTCCCTTCTCCTGGCAGCTCTGCGCATGCGCACATTGGGAACAGGCTCCAGCTGTTCTTCTGCCCCACTGATATCCGACTCCGAAGGCAGCTGATAACTGTCAGAAGGCCCTGGCCCCATCTCTGCCTCAGACGCAGAGCCCACATCAGAACCTGCCCCAGAACTGGCCCATGTTCCTCCCCAATTTCCTCACTGTCTGAGTCGGCCGCCAGCTCCCCTGGTGGGCCACAACAGGTTGGTCTACCCAGCCTCCGGAGAACTTGGGCAGGTCCGGTCTATTAAATGTCGAGGTGGCACCTCCAAAGTGAATACAGGTCTGCTAAATTTCAATTCCACGGACACGTTACGTAAGCTCATATGAGGTACCCCGTTGGATAAAGCAGCAAATCTGGAGATAACAGGTAGTCCTGGACTTACAACCGTTTGTTTAGTGAACGTTTGAAGTTACAACGGCACTGAAAAAAATTGGCTTATGACTTTGTCACACTAGCGTTGCAGCATCCCTATGGACACTTGATCAGAATTCAGACCATTGGCAAACTGAGTCACGTTTGTGACGGTTGCAGTGTCCCGGGGTGATGCGTTTGATCCCCTTTTGCGACTTTCTGGCAAAGTCAATTGGGGAAGCCCAATTCATTTTGAACATCTGTGTTGCTAACGTAACTGCAGTGATTCAGTTAACAAATGTGGCAAGAAAGGTTGTGAAATGGGGCAGAATTCACTTAAATGCCTTGCTTAGCCACAGGAATGTTGAGCTCAGTTGTGGTGGTAAGTCAGGGACTACCTGTACTTTTAGAAGGGGTTCACTTGAAATTATAAGTTGAGGACTGCCTGCACAGCTGTAGCCTCATCGTAATTTCAGCTGCAATTACATAACTGGCGGTTGATGAGCCAGATGTAGTCCAGTGAGATTTCTTTGACCCCGATGGGCAGCCTCCACCAAAGATTTCTCGCGGAGTTACTTCCAAGCAAAATATTTGAATGCTTTGAACTTTTGAAGGCTGTGAAATAACTTTGGTCAGCCAGATCTTTTAGTTCTTTTGCTTTGTGGTGTCCATCTTGGGAGTAAGTTTTTTGTGTGTGTGTGTGTGTGTGGTGTATTGTTTTTAACTGTCTTATTGTTAAAATTGTTTCACGTCTTTACACTGTGGTATCCTGCCCAGAGTGCAAATTGGAGTGCGTTAAAAGAAAAAACAAAAACCAGTAAAATAAATACGCTTCTCCCCTCTTCCCTCTCCTTCTCCCTCCTCCCCACAGTTCAGTCCGTGTCCCCTGTCCAGGCGCCGTCTCCCAGCAATTCAGCCCACCTCGTGACTGGGCAGGTGATGCCCCCCGCAGGGCTACAAGTACAAGGCAAAGTCTTGGTGCCAATGGCAGCCTCCCAAGTGACAGTAAGGACCACCTCAGCCGCCCAGCTGCCTCTGGTTACTCCGCCTTTCACTGTCCCGGTGCAAAATGGGAGTCAACCAGCCAGTAAGGTCAGTATCTGCAGAACAGGATGAGGTAAGGAGGGAGAAGAGACCGCGTGGAAGAAAGGGAGAGTGATGTACTGTTGGAATTCAATGTTGGAATGTATTTCTTTACAACAAATACAGTAGTATTCAGCCAGTAGATGGCAATGTTTACAGGTTTGGATCTGTGATATATACTCTAAGCTCTTTTGTTCTAAGAAGAGTTTCCTTGTTCAGTAAAACAGTTGAGCAGTAAAACACATGGTGACTGTACTCTGTGTTTGCTCTATGGTGCTTTATATAAACAGAATTTCTAACACAAACAGATTTGTATACTGCAAAGTATAGATTTTGTGATTGGCAGGAAGTGCAGGACGGTCACAAATTGTTCGTTGTGCTGCAATTTAGACATGTAGAATCTGAAGCACATTCCCTGTGCTAATAAGTAGGTGAGTGTCAGGTTCATGAGGGTGATAGACAAGCATAGGGGCAGTGAGGGTTTGGCACGACATCCAGGGACTGAGAAATTATCAATGATAAACACAGAGAACTGCAGCCTCAGAAATATATAGGTAGTCCTCGATTTACGATCATAATTGAGCCTGGAATTAGAGTCGTAGGTCATGGTCATTAAGTGATTCACCACACAACTGCACCCATTTACAATTTTTTTTTTTGGCGACAGTCGCTAAGTGAACATCACAGTTATTAAACAAGTGCATTTTCCTCAGTGGATGTTTTTTGGTAGAAACCAGAAATAAACACTAGAAACTGCCCCTCCCGAATCCAACCCCCGGGCCTTGAGTTAGACACCCCTGTATTAGAAGGTCTGAAAAGAGCTTCATATGCCTAAAAGAGCCTAGTGAGCCTTGGTGACGCAGTGGTTAGAATGCAGTATTGCAGGCTACTTCTGCTGATTGCCGGCTGCCACCAGTTCGAATCTCACCAGGCTTCAGGTTAACTCAGCCTTCCATCCTTCCGAGGTGGGTAAAATGAGGACCCAGATTGTTGGGGGCAAGAGGCTGACTCTGTAAACCGTTAAGAGAGGGCTGTAAAAGCACTGTGAAGCGGTATATAAGTCTTAAGTGCTATTGCTATTGCTAAAGAGAACCACAGTCTCTCTTTGCTGGTGATCACCATTTCCTGCCCAACTTGTACTTCCTCTCTCTTCTTCCCGGTTGTAGTAAAGACTGAAACCCTATGTTGTGTCTCATGCAGAATTTAGTCATCTGTCTCCAATTGTATTTGAATACTATCACTTGCTAAATTTCTTTACCGCAACAGTACAGATTTGGTAAATGACATTGAGGCTGAGTCTGGTTTTGATCCATTCTTCTTCTTTTTTTTTTTTTTTGCTCCTGGGGCTCACCTCCAACCTAAGCCTCCACTGGTGCTCCTCTTGGCTGCCTGTGCCAATTGAGTCTTCTTTCTGCCCTTTCAGATTATCCAGCTCACTCCAGTGCCAGTTGTCCAGCCTCAGTCCTCTTCCCAGAGCAGTGCCACCTTGGTGCCCCCACTTAGCCCTGCTGCGCTCCAAGGCACCATGGCCACCGCTGTCATTGGTTCCCCGAGCCAGGCCCAGAAAGTCCTGTTGCCCTCCTCCTCAACCAGGTAGGACTTTGCACTGAGTCTTCGAGGCACGGAGAACATATGTGCCTGTAGCAATTGCCATAAAATAAACACACTCTCTCTCTTTCTCTCTCTGTCTCTCTCTCTCTGTTTCTCTTGCTCTGTCTCTTTGTCTCTCTCTCTCTCTCTCTGTCTCTCTCTGTCTCTCTGCCTCTAGGATCACCTATGTGCAGTCGGCAGCTGGACATGCTCTCTCCCTGGGCACCTCAACTTCTCATTCTCAACCCAGCATCCCTCCAGCTGCTCCTACCACCACCTACGTCCAGTCCCCAGTGGGGCCTGCTCCCATGGCCCTGGGTTTCACAGCTATTGGGCCACTGCTTTCGGGTAAGGCCAGGGAGGCAGCTGTGGGACCAGGGGGGGGGGGCCAAGCAGCCAGAATGCCAAGCTAACAGACTGCTTGGCTGCCCTGGGCCTGAGAACACAACATGGAGAAAATCAACCCCAAAGAATATTGATTTGAAACCTGCATTCTGTTTCCTTCAGGTCAGAATCCTGTGCTGGCTTCGGGACAAGTGGGGGTGTCCCCACTTCAGAGCCCTCAACTCCCAGTTTCCGGTGCCGGACAAGGACAGGTCATCACTGCCGTTTACCCCACCCCCACAGGGACCAGTCCTGTTCAGTCCGCCAGTCACAGCGTGGTCTATTCGGTGGCCGCCACGGGCACTACCACGGTCTCCTCTCCCACAGCCATCCTGCCCAAGGGAGGCAGCGCCAGTCAGAGTGCTGGAACTTCCAACCACAGCCTGATTTCCACAGGTAGGGGGTGGGCGACGGGGTTCGGAGTCTCAAGGGGAAAGAAAGTAGCGGTGGGAGTCGTGTCCCAGAGAGAAAAGGAAGGGGGAACGAAGGCAGGGACTCAAAAAGAACCTCTTCTGAGCTTTCCCTCAAAATGATGTTCCTCATTCAGGGGGTGGGCTGCTGGGGGGTTCGCAGGGGTTCAGGAGAACCTCTTAAGATTCTGTGCAGTTCGGAGAACCCCCAAATCCCACTCCTGGCTGGCCCCACCCACCCCCTCCCCTCCCAGGAGTCCCCACGCAGCCTGTTTTGGACGCAGGTAAGTGCAGGGTGCGCCCGGAGGCTCGGGGAAGGTGAAAAATGGGCCTACAGGAAGGCAGAAACAGGCTCGTTTCCGGCCTCTGGAGCCTGGGGAGGCTGTTTTTGCCCTCCTGGAGGCTCAAGGAAAGCCTCTGGAGCCTGGGGAGGGCAAAAACACCCCACCCTGTCGTGGTGCAGGAGTCTGACTAGGCCACGCCTATCATGGCCACGCCTACCCAGCAACCGGACAGAGAACCCCTTGCTAAAATTTTTGAAGCCCACCCCTGTCCTCATTGAGCTTTTGCTGGTCATGAAGAAAAGGAGAAACAAGGACATTCTCTCCCAGCTGTTGTCAATATTCTTGACGCCATGTTGGTTCGGGTTCAGCAGGTGTGATTCGGCTGGCTTCCCAAGTGGTGCTCAATGCTGAGCTAAATGTCAGGTTTTCAGGCTGTCTTCAAATAAATTGCATCGCAAGCAAAGTCTCTTATAAAACAAACTTTCATTTTATTAAGCGCAGCACTTTTTACATTGACTCGTTGCAGCCGGTACTGACGTGCTGCCCCAAAACCCCTCCTCTTTCTTCCCCCACTCCTCTGCATTCATTGGCCATCTTCCCAATCATTCATCCCTAATCTACTGCTCCAATTCAAAGAATTTCCCCCCTCCCATCCATCTCCTAGGGGACATTATCTCCAGAGGAAATAAGTAGGTGAAAGGCAACCGTCCCGTTGAAGACGCCTGCGTTCTCCTTCTTATGTCAGCACTAGGATAAATGCATCTTGACATGCTGACATCAAACCCTAAAACTAGGCTAGCCAAAATCTTCGTTGCCCAAATACGGGATGCCGAAGCAGATGAATCATATGATGATCATTACGGTGGCCTGGTTTGGACAGCAGGTTCCCCGCAACGCACCTGGACCATAAAGCATCCGACCTCATTTTAATTTCACCTAGCCTAGTCCAGCAATAGTAGGGTTTTCTTTGCATTTTCTTAATATGGGATTGAACGCAGATCCACAAGTGGAGTTGAGAAGGGGAAAATGAATGGGAGGGGGAATAATGGGAAAGGAGAGGCGGGCGTCTCCATTACAGGTTAGTCCTCGACTTATCATCATTTTGTTTAGTGGCCGTTCAAAGTTAACAATGGCACCGAAGAAACCTATGACCGTCTTTCACATGACCATGGCAGCATTCCCATGGCCACGTGATCCAAATTCAGATGCTTGGCAACTGCCAGGTATGTTTGACGGTTGACGTCTCCTGGGGGTCACGTGATCCTCTTTTGCGATCTTCTGCCAAGCAGTCAATGGGGAAGTCAGATTCGCTTAACCGTTGTTACTCACCTAGCAACTGCAGTGATTCACTTAACATCCGTGGCAAGAAAGGTCCTAAAATGGGGGGCAAAACTCACCCAAACACCTGTCTTGCTTAGCGACAGAAATTTCGTGGGCTCATTTGTGGTTGTAAGTCGAGGACTATCTGTATTGTAAGTAGGATGGCTGTGCTGAACCTGTATCGCTCACGATCACCTTTTTTCTGTTCTTCCCTCCCAGCCGCACAAGTGATTCCTTCGACGCCCACTCGGCCTCAGCGCCCACCCCTCAAGCCTCCCCAGAAAGTCAAAGCCACCATTGCGAACATCCCAGTTGGTTCTTACGAAGCCGTCTATTCACCAGGCCCCGTTCCCCCTCCTGCGGGGCAGCAGCACGACTCTGGAGCGGCGCGATACCACCGGGAGACTGAAACCTTAGAACGGCCTTCGCGGGAGGCAGGGCCCCAAGACACTCCCTCTTCCCCCGCCTGCCATGGCACCGCCGAAAAGAGTCCTGCCAAAGCTCAGGAGTTGAAGCGAGATTGCTGGGAGCCAATATCACCCCCGGCGTCCCAGCCATCGCAAGTAACGGAGACCCCGGCCGCAGAAGTCGTCTGGAGCCAGCGGGAGATGGCAGCGGGGCCCAGCGAAGAGGGTGCTGTCCGTGAACCTCCACCATCCTCTCTGTTAGGCAGCAAAGGGACAGAAATGGTAAGAAAGACGGGCGGCTTCCCCCGGCCTCTCTCCCTCTCCCCATAAGCCATCTTGGTGACTTCTGGCCGCCATAACCATGTCCTGCAGCTCGCAGTGCACTAAGCAGCCTTTTTTTTAATTTCACAACATATAGACAGATTTAACCCTCGTTTCAATTGGGAAAATGTGACAATCCTAAACCAGGCCAAGTCCAAAAACGCCAGGGGATTTTTTAGAAGCCTGGCACGCTGACAAATCAGCCATCAACAGACACATAGACATAAACAACATCTACATACAGTGCAAAAGAGACCATCAACCAGCCCAAAAGAGAACAGAAAGACCCCAGCACCTCTCCACCAGCAATCAACACCTAGTTGATTGCATAGATCAACTCCAAGGTTAACGGCAGACCTACAATCAAGTAAGCAATACCCCAGTCGAGAAACTGCCAAAGAGCCATCAGTAAATAGCCCAACCGTAGAATCTCTCAGATCACCTCCACCAACACCTACAGGGTGTTGAATGTAAACTAGACAGACACCAGAATATAAACTGACAGCATACCCCACTCCCTTCTAGCACTGATGATGTTACCTAGTTGGGTCATGAAACGTCTGCAAGAAAACAAGCACGAAGGACCCCTCACGTCAACCCTGAGCTACAGATATTCTCCTTAGTTAGCCTTCTCCTGTTTTAGAAAGGTTTAGGGGGTGAGCCTATTAACAGAGCACAGGTAGTCCTTGACTTACACCCATAAAGGAGCCCGGAATTTCCATCCTAACTCAGGATGGTCACAAGTTGAGGCATCCGCATGACAAGGCCCCATTTTATGACCTAAACAAATGTGACTGTTGTAAAGTGAACACGGGGTTGTTAAGCAAGTCAGTACATTGCTACGGGCATTATCCAACCACATTGTGGGCTCCATCCGGCCCGCGGGCCTTGTGTTTGACACCTCTGTCTTACCCTGACGAATGAAGACGAATATATGTGTCCCAGGATAATGTTGTAGGATCCAGTCTGGATCCCGGTGACGAGCTAGATTGGATCCTATTTTACCCTGGTTCTTAAAAGAAACAAAGAGGATCTGCTTCCTGTTGGTGTCTTGGCAACCTGCTGCTGTGTTCCTCACCGTAGTTGGAGTCCTCTCGTCCAACCTGCTCACTAGCTTTCTCTCCTTGTCCAGGCCCCGAAATTCCCCAGCTCCCCTGACTGGAGAACAGCCGGTCCAGAGGCTCGTCCTGAGACTTCGGCCTCATCTGCGGCTCCCAATTCCTCCTCTTCGCTCAGTCCGATCCCGTCAAATGCCGGAGAGGGCTCCAGAAGCAGCGCTTCAACTCTCCCCCCAGCAACAGCCGCCCCTACGGCCGACGGCCTTGACCCAAAGGAGAGTCCAGGTGGGAAGAAAGTGAAGGTCCGGCCTCCCCCGCTGAAGAAAACCTTCGATTCTGTTGACAAGTGAGTGTCGGGGAGGTGAGCACGGACAGTGTCTGTGGCCAAAGCCCTCAAGATTCCCACTACGTGGATTGTATTCTTTTTTTGGTGGTGGTGGGGAGGGGGGACAGGGACGACAACAAGACTTCTTTGTGACTTGATCCTGGTGGTGATTTACAGTTGTAGAAAAGTTGCAGCTCATCCAGCTGTATCCATCTCTCCTCTTCGGCTGGCCATGCCAGACTTTGTCGTGTTCTAAGAGGGCCTTCTGCTTAAATGCCTTAAAGAGCCTTGGTAGTACAGTGGTCTAAAGCACCCTGTTATTAAGACCAGCTGCCTGCAATTACTGCAGGTTCGAATCTCACCAGGCTCAAGGTTGACTCAGCCTTCCATCCTTTCTAAGGTAGGTGAATTGAGGACCCAGTTTGTGGGGGCAATAAGCTGACTTTGTATAAATATACAAAAAGGATGAAGGCTATTGCTTAGCGCACTGTAAGCCACCCTGAGTCTCCGGAGAAGGGCGGCATATAAATCAAATTTAAAAAAAATTAAAAAATGCAAATGATATTGAACTTGGGGATGAACTGTGAATGAATGTTAAAAACTCTTTCCCCGAATCCGCTATTGACGGTTAGTCATTCCCTCACTGGCCTTAGAGCTTCCGTGGTGCAGGACTAACAGAATATTTGCAAGACACGAACCCATGAAAAGATTCCTTTTCATCAGGGAACAGGCCCAGATGGGCTCAAGAGGAAAGACGAAGAGATTCTGAGGGATATATATAAAAACTTAGAGAGTCATTCCTACGTTATTTTATTTTATTAATTTGTTTTATTTTATTTGTTTTATTATTTATATCCCAACTTTATTAGTTTTATAAATAACTCAAGGTGGCGAATACAATACTCCTTCTTCCGCCTCCTATTTTCCCCACAACAAACAACCCTATGAGGTTGGTTGGACTGAGAAAGTGACTACCTCCAAACCACCCAGCTAGTTTTCATGGCTTAAGGCAGGACTAGAACTCACAATCTTCTGCTCTCTAGCCTGGTGCCTTAACCACTAGACTATTATTGCTTGGGGAACAACCCAGTACTGGGAGGAGCCAAAGGTCCTTAACATGGACAGTTTTTACATTGGTGCATATTTCGGCTACCTCCACAGGCTTATTTGGAAGCGCCTTTTAACATGCTGAAACGAACTTCCCACCTCTGTTTTCCTGTCCTATGATGGCTGTGTTGCAGGGCCGTATTTCCTTGCAGGATAGAGGCTGTTACCCGTATTATTATTTTATTATTATTATTTATTGGATTTATATGCCGCCCTCTCTCCAAGGACTCAGGGCGGCTCACATCAAACGAAACTATCCCAATAAATACAAATTAAAACAGACTAAAACAGACTAAAAATCAATTTAAAACAGTAGAACCCATCAGTCCTCGCTAGGGCGTTTAATATAATATTATATAATATTTAATATAATATGTATAATAGCAATAGCACTTAAGACTTATATACCGCTTCACAGCCCTCTCTAAGCGGTTTACAGAGTCAGCCTCTTGCCCCCAACAACAATTTGGGTCCTCATTTTACCTACCTCGGAAGGACGGAAGGCTGAGTCAACTTTGAGCCTGGTGAGATTTGAACTGCCAGATTGCAGGCAGCCAGCAGTCAATAGGAGGAGCTGCAATACTGCACTCTCACCACTGCGCCACTGAGGCTCATAAGTTGTATTTGAAGCCACCTGGTATCCCCAGAAAAGGCCATATTCCTAGAGGGATTCCTGGAGTGATTGGGCAGCACGGCCGTATGGAGGGATGCCCAGGAGGCTGGCTTGGAAGCAGTTGGGAGAGTCTGTGGGAGGGGAGGCCGTCCGCTTGTCTGCCTTGCCTTGCCTGACCCATACCTCCTCCCTGCCCTCCTCTCACCCCAGCAGGGTTCTCTCTGAAGTGGATTTTGAGGAGCGCTTTGCCGAGTTGCCTGAGTTCAAGCCGGAAGAGGTCTTGCCTTCACCTACGCTTCAGTCCCTTGCCACCTCTCCACGGGCCATCCTGGGTAGCTACCGCAAGAAGCGCAAGAATTCCACCGGTAAGCGGGAAGGAGGCAGCCAGGGAAGCGCGTGAAGGTCGCTGAGTCTTGGGAGAGAGGACGGACGTCTTTAGTCCTGCTGCTGACAAGGTTCTAGGTTCTAGGCAACTCTGCAAGTCAAGGACCTAGATTTACTGGAAAGTGATTTGAAAATGTTTTTTTTAAAAAGAAAAAACATAGTGGAATGATTGATTTGAGTTAACCTGAAATAAACTGCAAAGTTTCTTCTTCACATGATTGAGGTAGTGCAGGAATTTGTTCACTTACCGTACTCTTTGGAGTATAAGACCCACTCCCCCCCCAAGAAAAGAGGGTGGAAATGTTGGTGCGTCTTATACACCGAATACAGCCATTTTTGACCTCCTGAAACCCCGCCCCTTGCATCCCATTTTTGCCAAAACCAGACCCGTTTTTGGTCCCCCAAACCCCCCACGCGTCGTGTTTTTGCCCTCCCCAGCCCCCAGGAGCACTCTGCAGGCCTCCCAAACCCTCTGCGCATTCCGTTTTTGTGAAAAATGGGCCTGTTTTTCGCAAAAACGGGACAGGCAGAGGATTTGGGAGGCCTGCAGAGTGCTCCTGGGGGCTGGGGAGGGCAAAAGCTTAATTTTTTTCTTGTTTTCCTTTTCAAATTCTTGGTGCATCTTATACTCCAATGTGTCTTATAGTCTGAAAAATACGGTATTTATTTGTATCTTGCCTTTATTATTTTTACAAATAACTTAAGGCAGTGAGCATCTCCAACACGCCTTCCTACTCCCTATTTCCCCCACAACAACAACCCTGTGAGGTTGGTTGAGCGAAGTGGGAATGATTGGCCCAAAGTCACCTAGTTAGTTTCCATGCTTAAGGTTGGTCTAGAACTCACTGCCTCCTGGTGGTTGGTCCAAAGTCACCCAGTCACACTAAGGCAGGACTAGAACTCACTATCTATGGTACTAATTTCTAGGCCAGCATCCTAACCACTTCATCAAACTGGCTCTCCACTGAGAATGGTGAGGGCCTTAGGCAGCTTTTGGCATAGCATTTGGGACCTGGGAATACACTCTGGGGCCTCTCTCATGCTTCTGGATCCTTCTCCTTTCTTTACTCCCACGCTAGCCCCCTCCCCTTTCCTCTTGTAGAGCAATGTGCAAAACAAGCAGCATCGAACTATGTTTCTAATGTGACAAATTTAATTTGAGTTTTGTGTGGAGCAGGTTGCCGGAGTGTGAGCATCTCTTGTGTGTCTGCCTCCTAACCTGGAGTTCCTTTTTCAGACCTCGACTCCTCCACGGAAGACCCCATCTCCCCCAAACGGAAGATGCGCCGTCGCTCCAGTTGCAGTTCGGAGCCCAACACTCCCAAGAGCGCCAAGTGTGAAGGAGACATCTTCACTTTTGACAAAACAGGTAGATGAAAGCTGGTGGGGGAATCCCGGCCACAAGGGGAAGAAGGCTGCCAAGGGAGGGCCATCTCTGCTCACTGAAGGAATTTATTTAAGAAAATGTATAAGTGATCCCAGCAACTCACAAGGATAAGAGCCCAATATACAGTATTGTGTAAATATTGTGTATTTAAAGTAAAGTGCATTTTTGAGGTTTGATGGCTAATAACACCACTTTTTGGGGGGAGTTTCAAGATAATCATATTCCATTGCTGGAATGGCCTGGGAATAGCCCAGACCTTCACCCAATTGAAAATCTATGGAGCCGACTAAAGAAACTTGTTAGTCAGAAGCCACCCAGCAATAAAACCCAGTTAATAGAAGCAATCATTCAATCTTGGTTTCACATTATAACAGCTGAAGAACTAAAAGACTTGGTTCACTCCATGGGAAGACGTTGTAAGACCATCATTCATGCTAAAGATTACCCAACTAAGAATTAACTGACGTGGTGATAATTTTTGTATACGTCATTTTTTCTACATGTTTCACTTTTCTTCTTTGTACTATAACTGCTATTCCAATAGCAAATCCTTCATCAAAGTTATTGCATGACATTCTTGATTAAATTATCTTTCCATTGATATATAATTTTAAGGTACTATTCTCAAAAAAAAAAAAAGTGGTGTTATTAGCTAGTTTTAGAAAATAACACTGATCCCAAAAAGTTTCCACAATTTTGGTCACTGCTTAAGAACAATAAAACAGCCCCCATCCCCTGGCTGCAATAATCAAACGAACCATTTGATGGGCTCCATCCCACTCTCGGGGACCCCAGACCCCGATTGGCAGAACCACGTCTTCAGGGCTTTTGGAAAGCGTGTCGAAGTGGGGGCCAGTGTTGTTTCCACAGGGATGATGTTCCACAGGGGAGGGTGCCATCACGGAGAAGGCCCTTCTTCTCGGTCCTGCTAGATGGACCTCCTTAGGGATTGGCAAGTGTACGGTCTTTACAGACTCCCTCTTCTAGCCGTGTCCATCTCTCTTGTAGGCACAGACACGGATGACGTACTTGGAGAACTGGAGTATGAGAAGGTGCCCTACTCTTCACTCCGACGTACCCTGGATCAGAGGAGAGCTTTAGTCATGCAGCTCTTCCAGGATCATGGCTTCTTCCCTTCAGGTAGGAGTAAATTTTTGCCGCCTTGGAGTGACCAACTTTAGAATCCCGATTCACTGCTTTGGCCCTGCCTGACTTTCAGCTGAATGGCCATCTTGAGTATCAATGGGCTCTGGATTTCCTAGAGCAGGAATGTCAAACTCAATTTCATTGAGGGCCGCATCAGGGTTGTGTTTGACCTCAGGGGGCCTGGTGGGCGTGGCCGGGGTGGGCGTGGCCAGCTGGATGTCACTCATGTTGGTGCCTGTGGGCTGGGGGGGGATCCACTTTCGGCTGCCATGGCCTCCTACAGCATGCTGCCAGCTGCCACTAGATTGTAGATCAGCGCCCGGTTGGCCTGGGCCGGGCCAGGGCCCTGTGGTCCAGTCCTTTACTGTTTCCGGGGTTTGCCCCACGGGCCACATCCATTCTACGGGCCTCGTGTTTGACACCCCTGTTCTAGAGTAACTCCAGCAGAGTCTTGACTGTGCTAAAGAAAATGGCAGCTTGCTTCTCTTTTTTTTTTTTTTAAATGCTGTAGTAGATGCTTTTTGACAGCTTTTGGACTTTGCCGGGGAGGGAACGGCTGTCTTGAAAGCTGCCGGCCAGAGCGTGCTCATTTCTGCGTGTTTCTGGATTGTTTGATTTGGGGAAAAGGGCTTTAAGGAATAACTCCTTAAGGAATAAGGGCAGCGTTTCCCAAGCTTTGGCCACTTTAAAACTCACGGCAATGCTGGCTGGAGAATTCTGGGAATCGAAGTCCACGCATCTTAAAGTGGCCAACATTGAGAAACTCTACGGCAGGGGTCTTCAATCTTGGCAACTTTAAGCCTGGAGGACTTCAACTCCCAGAATTCCCCAGCCACCAAAACAAAGCTGGCTGGGGAATTCTGGGAGTTGAAGTCCTCCAGGCTTAAAGTTGCCAAGGTTGGAGACCCCTGCTCTAGGGAAAAGATTTTCTTGTACAGGTAGTCCTGGACTTATGCAGCCATTCATTTAATCACCATTCAAAGTAACAAGGGCGCTGAAAAAAAATCAAACTTCAAATACTTGACAGCTGACTCGTATTTATGACAGTTGCATTGTCCTTGGGGGTGTCGTGGGATCCCCTTTTGCGACTTTCTGACAAGCAAAGCCGAGGGGGAGGCCAGATTCACTTAACAACCGGGTTACTCACTTATTCAGAGGCAGGGATTCGCTTCACAACTCTGCCGAGAAAGGTTGTAAAATGGGGCAAAACCCACGTAACCACTGTCTTGCTTAGCCGCGGAAATATTGGGTTGGAGTGGTTATAAGTCAAGGACTACTTGTTAACAGGGAGCTGCTCCCTTACCCATCTGTTCTCAATTTTGTGTGAGCCTCGCTGAGTTCTTTTTTTTTTTCCCCTCCGCTTTCCACAGCCCAAGCCACTGCAGCTTTCCAAGCCCGCTACTCGGACATCTTCCCCACCAAGGTCTGCTTACAACTCAAGATCCGGGAAGTGAGGCAGAAGATTATGCAGGCAGCCACTCCTACGGAGCAAGCCCCCAGCACGCCAGAGCCCGGAGGCGCCCCAGGCAGCGTTATGGGGGTCAGCGGTGCAGAGGGACAGCTGGCGGAGTTGAGCCTCCCGCAAGACTCCGCCCAGAGCACAGAGGCTGCCCCGCCAGCAGCCAGCCCTTCCACCACAGCCGCTGGCTGGGACTGTAGCCAGCAGTCTTCTCCAGGGACGGCCGGTAGTAGCACCTCCACTGCCACCACCACCAGATGAAGAGCCGCCCCCAACAGCAAGCAAGAAAAGCAGCCGCGTGGAGGGTGGGGGAGCCCCAGACCTTTACCCCCTCCCCCACACCCTTGCCCTGCTCCTCACCGGCGCCCCTCCCTTTGCTAACCTCACCTGCTCTCTTCTGTGACTGTACGGGAGAAGCTTCCGCAACCTGTAGACACTGCCTGGGCTCCTTGCAGGCCTCTTCAGCCATTCTGATCCGACATGGATGGGCCATGGCCTTCCAACAGGTCCTTCTGCACCTTCCCTCCTCCCAAAAGAACTCAAGTTGGTGCTGACCTATCGACCATTCCAGGACACAGGCCAGGAGACCTCTGGGGAAGGAGGGGGGGGCTGCCAGAAGGCCCTCCCAGGTGCACCAACCAACCAACCAAACCCCTGTAAAATAAGACCTCGTGTTAATTTCTTCCCCACATACCCCCACTCCCCCGCACACACAAACACTTATCTCCTTCGAATAATGTTATAAGTATTTGGAGATCCCACCAACTTGTTGCTTCTGTGTCAAGTCATCGGGGCAGGGGGAGGGGGTGGGGTGGGGAAAGGGAGCCTTTTCCATCCATCCTTGCAGTGGGAAGAGTGGGAGGCTTGGGCCTCCCGGACAGGTGATTGCTTTGGTCATTTGGCAAGTTGGGTCACTTGGAGAAGCCAGAAGGAAGAAAGGAGGAGGAGGAGGAGAGAGAAGTCGATCCAGGGCAAAGCTGGGCTCCGTGGAGTCTCGCCAAGAGAGCCTTGCAAAGAGGGGAACGAGGACTTTTGTGTGTGGCGCAGCCTAAATCTGGACGGGAGTTTAAAAGAGGGGTCTTGGGAGAGAGGGAGCTGGCCTGGCGAGCTCCCCTCCCAAGTACGAGTGCCCTGGTGGCCACAGCCACATGTTGACCATGTGTAACCCCTTCTGTATTGGGGTGGCCCCACCTCACATACTATTAAAGCTCTTTAACAATCTGGTCTTGGTTGTAGAATTTCGGTTCCTGCAGAGAATTCGGTTCCTTCTGCATTCTGCATTCCTTTTCCTTCGCAATGACGTTTTTACGGGGTGTTCCTGCAGCCGTTTTGGTCAGCTCCGCTTTTCTCATCCTTGCAGGGGCCAAGATAATACTTGAAATGTTTTGGTTAAGGTCTGTTGGGAGAGAAGGGGACTAAAGACCTTCCTTGGGGCAGATTTTAAAGCTTTTTTTTGTGGGGGGGAGCAGTATCTTGGCTCCCCTTGTGGATTTGCAACGGCAGTGAGAACACAAATCTTGTCTCCGGGCTTTGAAACAAAGCGTTCCCTACAGCACCACAGTGCAGATTTCTGGAATTGCATCTTCAGGTAATCCTCAAACTTGCAGCCGTTCGTTTAGTGACCGTTCAGAGTGACAAGGACATGGAAAAGCGACAACTGTTCACACTTTCGACTGCTGCAGCTTCCCTGTGGTCAGGTGATCAAAATTCTGACATTTGGCAACTAGTGTCACATTTATGCGATGTCCTTGGGTCGCGTGATCTCCTTTTGCGACCTTACTAACAAGTCAATGGAGAAGCCAGATTCACTTAACATCCGTGTTCCTAACTTTAACAACTGCAGGTCATAAAACGGGGCAAAACTCTCACAAATGTCTCACTTAACAACAGAAATGTTGGGCTCAATTGTGGTCGTAAGCCGAGGACTACCTGTATTCCCACAAAGTTCCATCGAGAAGGAGAAAGCAAATGTTACAAGGTTCTATATAGCAGCACAGCTATAAGCTTCATATTGTGTATAAAAGCTGGCTAAAAAAAACCCCAGAAGCAGCCCCTCTTTTTTAGCTACAAGAAGATAAAACTTAAGGAATTCAGAAACGGACCAACCAGGAAAACTCGTTTGCAGAGAGCAGGAACAAGATTTCTCCAAAATGTAAAGACTTCGCATGCAAATTGTTGCTAATTGCTTCTGGGGAAAACCTTATTTTTTTCCCCTTTAAAGTTGGGTGACTAGCCAAACGTGACGAATGACTCGCTCCGTTAGGCCATTAGTTACCTGTCTGAAACTCACTTAATAGGTAAAGAAACACAAAAATGTCTGCCGAGAAACTTCCAAGTTACTTTTATTACATAAAAACAGACAGATTCCCGTTAACTTGTCTTGTGCCAATTTTTTTTTTTTTTTTTTGGCAGCTGCAGGTCACGGTGCCAATCATCCCCACCCCTTGCAAGAAAACAACCCACACGGAGGCTTATGGAGTTAGTAAAGGAGTGCCCAGTTTCAAATGCCAGGCAGAAGACGGGTGGGAAACACTATTGGCACTCTGGAGCAGTTTTCTTCAACCTTGGCAAGTTTTAAGATGGGTGGACTTCAATTCCCAGAATTCCCCAGCCAGCACAGCTGGCTGGGGAATTCTGGGAGTTGAAGTCCACTTACCTTACAGTCGGTTGAAAACAGCCGATCTGAAATCAACAGCAATCTAGCTTCTAAAGCCTCCGGCAGTCACTCAAACCCAACGACAAGCATCTTAGGTGTGATTGAGGGCATCCATCAAGGTGTTTGAGCATGGCATTCTCCCAGTAGGTAGAGCAGCAAGCGGTGCAGTCCAGGGCAGAGTCTGGCATACCCGTTGCGGGTCAGGTGGAGGTAGTCGTACATGTCATGGTGACTTATAGTCCCGTCTGAATGCACAAAGCCCGGGTCAACATTGAGGAAGGAGGCATTGGGTAGCAGCGGCACCTTACTCTCCAGCAATTCGTTCACCCTCCTGTTCTTCTCTCGTAACGGGTTGGGAGTTTTGCCCCGTGGCAGCAAGCCCTGGACAGGATACAGAAAAAAAAAAAACCCACGATCTTAAAAGTCACAAAGGGATTTGTTTCTAAGCTGATGCGAGCCAGCTCAATGACCTGGGAAAGCAGTCTTCCTTTAGTAGAGATAGCCCTCACTTAATGACCGTTCGTTCGACGTTCCGACATATCTCCCCAGGACTATTTAAAAAAAACAACTGATTTTGGAGTTCCGATGGAGAACCACCGACCTACAGTCACGTGATCGCAATTTGGTTGCTTTGGCAACTGGCTTCCATTTGCAGCGCCCGTGGTCATGTGACTACGATTTTTGCCTCTTTTTTTTTTTTTTTTTTGGCCAGTTTTCCAGCATTTTTTCCAGTTCCCATCCAAAAAATAAAATAAAAAAGCACCCATTGAAGAAAATAAAAGCTCATTTTAACGACTGTGTTGTTTGCTTTATAACCGCTGCAAAAGTCGTAACCCCTGGCACGGGGACCCACTTAATGACAGCCATGGCTTAGAACCGTAATACCAGGCTCAATGACAGCCGTAAGTCGAGGACCACAGCTATAAGCTTCATAAATATGAAAATAACCATATATAACCACGCCATTCTAGTTTCTTTGGCCAATATGATTCTGGCTGGCTTAGAGGATGGCATTTTTTTATCAGATGGAGTCGGGCTTGGAACTCACCAAGACAACCACACGGGCCTGGGGTTGTTGCTGATTGATGACGCGCACAATGGATTCTATGCCAGCAGTCACCTGTTCCGCAGTGTGTCCGTGGTTATTGGTGCCTACCCAGAGTACCACAATCTAGAACCAATGGAAGGGGAGGGGAGGGAAAGAATTAATCATTCTCTTGATTGCTTGGGTGAAAGGAAGTAATGAATGACGCTGCTTACGCACAGCTACCCATCTAACACCACGACAGGAAATCTGGCTATGGCAACACAACACCCTCTCGTGCGCAGGGAAAACCTGTTGCTATAAAAAGTGTACAATCTGGATCTTTAGATGGACAAGACTACAGAGTCTGAAAAGTAAAGACAAACTTATCTTGTAGCCCTCAGCAACCCTTAAGTTGAATGCTGCTCTGGAGTTTGTCTAGTTTGAGGAATCTCTGCGCAACCGATAGAGCAGTGTTTCCCAACCATGGCAACTTGAAGATGTATGGACTTCAACTCCCAGAATTCCACACCCAGCCATAGAAAAACACTGTCATAGAGGTACCGTATAGCATTTTACAACTGAATGTTTTTAAGAAAAAGTTTCAAGTCTTTAAACGTGCAATGAATCCCAGATAATCTCAAGCTGTTTGTTCTCCCTAATTATTAAGCAGAAAAATTAAAGGGGTGGAGTTGGAGAAACCTAAATGGGTATATCTTTCAGATTGCATCCGCTCATAGGTTCCTTAGCTTGCCCTTCTCTTTGATTCCCATTTGATGCTTCCATTAAGAAAATAGTCCTTTCTGATGGAATACATTCTTCGCATTTCTGGCATCTCACGCCTTGCAGCTTCCCCTAATATCTATATCTATATCTATATCTACCTATATCTATATCTATATCTATATATCTATATCTATATCTATACATCTACAACTCCACATCTATCTATCTATCTATCTACCTATCTACCTACCTACCTACCCACCCACCCACCCACCCATCCATCCATCCATCATATATATATATATATGAGAGCCAGTTTGGTCTAGCAGTTAGAAAGTAAGAGACAATGAGTTCTAGTTCCGCCTTCGCCATGAAAGCTGGCTGGGTGATTTTGGGCTAATCACCAGGAGACAGTGAGTTCTAGTTCCACCTTCACCATAAAATTTGGCTGGGTGAATTTGGGCCAATCACAGGAGTCTGTCTAGTTCCACCTTCGCCATGAAAGCTGGCTGGGTGAATTTGGGCCAATCACCAGGAGACGGTGAGTTCTAGTTCTGCCTTAGACATGAAAGCCCACAAGAGGACTTTAGGCCAGTCACTCTCGGTCCAACCCACCTCGCAGGATTGTTGTGGGGAAAACAAGAAGAGGAAGGCGTGTTGGATATGTTCACTGCCTCGAGTTAAGTTATAAAAATAATAAAGGTGGGATATAAATAAATATACAGGGAGCAGGCCTGAGTAACATTTTTCAGAACTGTAGGGAGATGATCCTGGGCTTGAGGCCTATTTCATCAGCCGCCATCTTGTTACCTTTGGACGGATGTGCTGCAGTTCTCCGTTCTGCAGGCGCCACAGCACATGCTGCGTGGCATCACCCCCAATGCCAAAGTTGAGGGCATGCAGTGGGGAGAAAAGCTCCCTCCAAATCTGGAGGGGAAGAGAGAGAAAGGCCAATGAGCAGATGATAAAAACGATGGATCCATTTGATGATTTTCCCCGGAGAGTTTTTCCGAGACACTTTACCTCAAACTGGTGCAGCAGCTGCACTAGGGAGTCCCCAATAAAGACGACTTCAGGTTCCTTGTCTTTGCTGTCGGCAATGAAACGGTGGTGCTGCAGAAAGTGGAGAAAATTGGAGAGCTTTTAAGAGGGGAAGCTGAGGAGAGACTAAATTTCTGGAAGCGGGGAAAACAGCTGAGGAATAGCACAGGAATTGGGATCCAAAGCCAAATTCAGTGGATTGAGACAGGGGATTTATGGGTGCTAACCCCAAGATTTCTGACATATATATTGATATATTCCCATTTGGCTGTTCATGGAAATTAGTGAGTTGTGCCTCCAAGAGGCAGCTCAAAATTGCCACCAACATTTTGGATCTTTCCTTTAAGTCAGGGGTCTCCAAAACTGGCAACTTTAAGACTTGTGGACTTCCAACTCTCAGAATTCCCCAGCCAGCATGGGAGAGTTAAACCCCAAGTTAAACAAATCAGTGGAACGATTTGCCTCCCAGAAGGGTCCTCAATCATTGAAACGTTTTTTATGAAGAAATTGGATGGCAGTTTGTCTGAAATGGTATAGAGTTTCTTCCTTGAGCAGTGGATTGGACTAGACAGCCTCCAAAGAATAGAATAGAACAACAGAGTTGGAAGGGACCTTGGAGGTCTTCTAGTCCAACCTCTTGCTTAGGCAGGAAACCCTTTACCATTTCAGACAAATGGTTATCCAATCTCCTCTTAAAAACTTCCAGTGTTGGAGAATTTACAACTTCTGGAGGCAAGTTGTTCCACTGATTAATTGTTCTCACTGTTGGGAAATTTCTCCTTTGTTCTATGTTGCTTCTCTCCTTGATGAGTTTCCACCTGTTGCTTCTTGTCCTGCCCTCAGGTGCTTTGGAGAAGAGCTTGACTCCCTCTTCTTTGTGGCAGCACCTGAGATATTGGAAGACTGCTATAATGTCTCCCCCAGTCCTTCTTTTCATTAAACTAGACATCCCCAGTTCCTGCAACCGTTCTTCATATGTTTTAGCCTCCAGTCCCCTAATCATCTTCGTTGTTCTTCTCTGCACTCTTTCCAGAGTCTCAACATCTTTTTTACATCGTGGCTTACGGTCCCTTCCAACTCCGTTATTTAACAGAATATACGGGGATCGGAGAAGCCATGCAGTTCCAGAGAGGGGGGTGCCTCCCCTCCACCCCAAGACTCTCTTTTCAGCTAGATCCCTGCGGCCCAGCAAGCAGCTCACCAATGACATCCATCGTCCATCCCCTTGGACATCGATGACCGGGGTTGGGGTGCTGGCGGGGTTCTTGTCACCATCACTCATGGTCCCTTGCAGATCCTACGGAGACAAAGCAGAGAAGAAAGAGACTCAATCCCTGGTTTAACAGCTTGCCCTCCCCGCACCTCCACAGCACATCCCACCATGGACCCCGCTTGCTCCCCATCCAGAGGGCAAAGCCAAGGAACAGCTGGACCTGCCGGAAAGGACTACTTCGCCCAGGAACAATACAGGCGGCGCCAGTCACCGTTCCTCCCTCGCCAATGGTTTCGTCCATTCATTCCCCCCTTCCACCGCACAAAGCTTGGGCGGTCCCATTCCTCAAAGAAGGGGGGAACGTAAACCTATTCTGTTGCAATCCCTGTAGGGCTGTCTGGTTTTTTGTTTTTGTTTTTTTTATGCGGCGCTAATAGCGCTAGAAGTAACGGCGAAGCTGTGCAGCCATTGCCATTTCCACCCCGGCAAAAGACGACATTTCTCTGCAGCGTTTTGTTATTACAGCCATCCTTTGCACCAATTCCATCAAACCCGTATAGTAGTGGATCAATGCATCAATGCATAGAAAGGGGGGGGGAACAGACGCGGAGGAGGATTACACCCCCCCATCACATATAGTTCTTGATATGTGTCCCATGTTCCAGTCTCCTTTTTTAAAAAAGCCTTCTAACGGATTAATAATCTTTCCGTTTTCGGAGAGGAAATAAAAGCGGGGTTTTTAATCCGTTTCCTCCTCCCCGGGGCACAATGGTTCATTCCCCCTGCAAGCGCTGACTGCTTGCAAACAGCCGATACCATTCGGGAAAAAAGGGGTGGGGAACTACTCACGGTGTTAATCGGGGAAAAATAATAGTCATAAACTGGTCCCCCCCCCCCGACCTTTCAAGCTGCCGGAGAAACTGCTGGGATCGCCCGGTTTCAGCTCCGCTTTGGAAGCGGTTTCCTGCCTGCCACCTGGGCGGAACCACCTGACCTGGGAAGCGGGGGGGGAGGAGGAGGAAGAGAAGGCTCGTTTTGTCTCTCCCAGCGCCCTCCTGGTGAAGCAAATGGTATCGCCCGCTCTAGTCCCATTCATCTTTCGCTTCTTGGCTCCGTCGACGACGTGGCTGCTTGAGAGCATCCCCGGTGGAACTGCGGCCTGGGAAAATCATGTGCTCTGCAGTCCTGTTATCCGTTTCTAGCCATCTGGTTCAGTCAGATTTACGGCTGAGTTGGCCTACATCAGGGGTGGGCAAATGTGGCCCTTTTACAACCTGTGGACTTCAACTCCCAGAATTCCTGAGTCAGCCAAGCTGTCTCAGGAATTCTGGGAGTTGAAGTCCACAGGTTGTAAAAGGGCCACATTTGCCCACCCCTGGCCTACATCTATCTACTTGCTTTCTCCAACCTGGTGCCTTTCCGTTTGTTATTAAACTACATGTCCCAGCATCCTCCTTTTCGGGGTTAATGGGAGTTTCTGTGTGCATAATAAAGTAGATAAGAGCTGATAGCTGGATAGTTTGTTTTCCTGTTTGATAAGACTCTTATCTGTGATTTATATGTATATATGTGTGTAGGTAGGTAGGTAGGTACAGAGAATAGAATAGAATGAATAGAATAGAATAGAATAGAATAGAAATAGAATAGAATAGAATAGAATAGAATAGAATAGAATAGAATAGAACAGAACAGAACAGAACAGAACAGAACAGAACAGAACAGAATTCTTTATTGGCCAAGTGTGATTGGACACACAAGGAATTTGTTTTTGGTGCATACGCTCAGTGTACATAAAAGAAAAGATACATTCGTCAAGAATCATAAGGTACAATGAGGAACAATGAGAAGGTACAATCATAAGGAACAATGAGAAAATTAATAGCAATACAGACTTAGTAAATAGTTTGACAGTGTTGAGGGAATTATTTGTTTAGCAGAGTGAAAAAAACTGTCCTTGTGTCTAGTTGTTCTGGTGTGCAGTGCCCTATATAGCGTCGTTTTGAGGGTAGGAATTGAAAGAGTTTATGTCCAGGATGTGACGGGTCTAAATATTTTCACAGCCCTCTTTTTCACTTGTGCAGTATACAGGTTAGGATTAGGGTTGTCAATGTCAATAAAGGTTATCTTATCTTATAACATGCATTTGAGGCTCTGCATTTCTTTCAAGTCGTTTAATGAAGACTGTTTTGCCTTGTTCCACAGATAGATGCGCCATCCGTTGTAGTTAAATAGGAACTAATACGATAGTAATCATTGCAGTCTCTCCATCAGCCACATGAGGGCGCCAGTTTTCTACAAATCTTCAAGCGAAAGGGATGGTTCCTAAACTCAGCACTGAAGGCAATTTGGTGGGAATAACAGCTCACTTAAATCGGGATCACAGCCCTATGAGAAGGTGACATTTGCTAGCTAAGGGGGGAAATCTATCACGGGTTAGCTGCACAGGGTGTTGCAGAAGTAGACATGGTAAGAGAAATCTGATTATGGAAATAAAACCAGAAATTCATAGAAAGGTTAAATAAAGTCGTGCACAGAAGAGGGTTATACATGGTTGAATGTAAAATGGTTTTATGACTGCCATGTATTATTTAAATCATACATTCATAGCTATCATTCCTACCCTCAAAGGTATTTCTAGAGATTTATCAAAGCAATATGCTTAATTTCTCAGTTCCCAGAATTCTGCTACCTTCAACATGGAGCTGAAAGTTTTCACATAAACCTAACAAAATACTTGGAGTGCACACTGTAAGGATATTGGGTTTAAAATCTAAAGAGCCCTGATTAACTTTGTAAAACATGACCAAATTCTAAAAGTCTTTGAAAACTGCAACCTTTTGATAAAAAACAGTAGAAACTTCAGTAGTACTTCTCAACATTTTTATTAGCAGCAAACTTTCGGATCATGAATTCAACATTCGTTTCTTCTCCTGAATCAATAATATGCAAGATCCCGTAAGTGGATCAAATTCTCAGTGCGTCTTAAACCTGTTTTTGCTTATCAATCATATCCCTCTGATTTGAGAAAACGATGGGAAAATACCCTTTTCAAAAAAGGAATGCAAACCAACTTGGTGTCTAAAAGTAAACTTCCTGTTGTCTAAAATATAACAATGGTTCAAGTCAAAACAAACTCGGCCTTCCATCGGGCACAGAACTAGTTAAAAATGAATTGACCGTGTTAAATGATCTGGACTTGGTGCATTACGCCAATAAAAGGGACCGGCAATTGCAATAATTCAGTTGCAGGTAGAATGAAAAACATGCCAAGGCTGCAACCTGGTGTAGAAGCCCCCTCTCCTTTTCAAAGATTCCTGGCTTGGAGTGGGGCCTTGATCAACGGAAGCCTCCCTCTTCCGCTCAAAGATTTCCGCAGATGCAGTTGGGTGTATGCCAGCCTTGTCCTTTCCCAACTAGAAGACTTAACTGGGAAGGGATATGGAGCCCATTTGGCCGATGCTCAAAGACACCGAAGGGGAGCCGTTGGCCTGGTGGAGGTGGCTTGGCTGCTGGGGGTTTTCTGAGACCTGCTGAGCAGACTGGCTAGGCACTTGTTTGGATGTCAGGCACTCGGGCCCTGCTGCAGCTGAATCTAAACGGAACCAGAGGAAGCCTGTTAGATCATTGACACTACATGTCACTGAGCTATTGCTCTATAGGAAGTTAGCACCCTCCCCTCTCCTAGGAAAATATTTTAGGAAATATTAAAAGGGCAGAATATTTCCTCTAAAAGGGAGGCAGAAACTCAGCCCCCCCCCCCACTTTTGTCAATGGGCCATTAAGGCCTGGGCCAGTCTATTCTACGTAACAAAGATCTTCCTCCTTCAGGCAGAGCCATAGTAGGAATTGCCCAAAGGCCTTTTATTATATCATCACCCAGCAAGAGTCAACCAAGCTTGGGACTCAAAAGACAACCTACAAAGTTACCCCTGCATGGCCCCATGGGAGCCTGACAACCAATCAGAATACAAGCTCAAATTCAAATCCCAACAGAGGGTATAAATTTCTCTCTCTCTCCACTCCATGTGCCCTTTTTGCCCAGGACCTCGAAACCATGTGGTCCTGTCCACTATTAAACCATCTTTTTCCAAACAGCCACCATGTTTCCAGTGTCTTTTTCCCCACTTGGGACTGAGCCCAGATGGACATTTCTTCCAACACCTCCTATATCACAATTCCACTGAACTTACAACAGCCATTCAGACACGGATTTTGGCAAAACGCTAGCTGTTAGGAACACCCTTCCAATGGTGTAGGAGTATGAACGGATTTCCAGAAAAATTGCAGACTACAGGAACCATTTGCACTTTGGTTTGAGATGGCAGTTCCATATCAAGGATGGGTTGGGTGTAGATAATTATTGTTTCGCCTTGATTGGGTTACCAGTGTCATAAGTTGCTTGGTTGTTTTTAAATTTAAGAGCCCTGGTGGGGCAGTGCCTAGAATGCAATATGGCAGGCCAACACTGCCCAGAGTCAGGAGTTCGATCCTGACAGGCTCAAGGTTGACTCAGCCTTCCATCACTCTGAGGTTGGTAAAATTGTTGGGGGCAGGAAGCTGACTTTGTAAACTGCTTAAAGAGGGCTATAAAGCACTACGAAGCGGTATAGAAGTCTAAGCGCTACTGCTATTGATCTCTCTACTCGCTCCACAGGCCTTCTGAACAACTGCAAAGATCCATACATAAAACATCCACTGGGTATTATGGACCACATTTCTCATCATCATCGCAACCTCTGCCATACTGGTGAGGTGACGGGGGTTGCTTTACGTGCTTAATGCACGCAGGGGCGGCATTAACATAACGTAAAATAATGAACTTCTGAGCAGCTGGCAGAAATCTGACCTTTTTCATCCTTGCTGTCAGGCCCCTTACGGCACTTGTCGTGCTCTTCTTCTTTGAGCTTTTTGCCGGAACACCTTCCTTCTTGGAACTGCTGGGGTTGGCACTGCTGAGACAGCTGCCCTGGGAGAAGTAAGGGGTCTGGGAAAGAGGGCTGAGCTAGAAGGCAGGGGCCGGGGTTCAGCAGAGACAAACTGGGAGGGAGCATGTGCAGATCCATCCCAACGGGGGATCCTGCTTGGAAGGGCACGGTGACCGAGACGTCCATGGGCGAGACGCAGAAAGGCATCAGCGGCGGATGGCCAGGAGCGGAGCTAGAGGGCGCAAGGACTTCAACGCTGGTCTCAGAGATCCAGCCGGCCTCCATGCTTTGGGGCAAGCAGACAGTCTTTTGCATGGAGCCTGAGGTGCTGTGGTAAGTTCTCAAGTTTGGGGCAAAATGGTAGTGGTGGCTGTAACCGGAAGCCGTCCCAAGGCTCGGTTTGACCGGCTGGATGCTGGAAACCATGAGAGAGGTCGCTACCTGAGCCCCTCGAGACGGAGCGACCGAGAACAGACGGACGTTTTTGTATTGCTGGGGATGAGGGCTACCGTGGAACAGTGGAAAGAAGAAGGGCCCTGGAACTTGTTCGGGGTGAGCATTGACCGACTCTGGGGGTACGTGGGCTCGCTTCAAGGCTATGTCCCTCGAGGCCTTGATACCCTGTGGAACGTAGGGAGGCAGGAAGTACGAGGGATGTGGCTGGAAAGGACTGGGAAGGGCAGGGTTGGGAATGGCTTCTATAGGGTGGGAGAAACTCGGGGGGCCCATGAGGGCAGAGATGGTGTTGGCAGGGGGCAGGAGGCCCGAAGGGGAAAGCATGGGGCTAGATTGGGGGGCATTCCTTAACACCATCAAGGCTTCGGCGGCCTCTTTCTGGAGCTGTTGCTCAGAAAGGGGCGAGAAGAAAAACCCTCGGGTGGGCCAGACTGAAAGGTGAGCGGAAGAATTGGGCTGAAAGAGAGCAGGACACACAATTAACCTCAGGATCAACAAAGAGACGTCAACAGGACCAAAGTTATATTTTTTCAATTCAGGACAACGGAGTTGGAAGGGGCCTCGGAGGTCTTCGGTCCAACCCGCTGCTCAAGCAGGAGACACCCCCCCCCACTCCCAAATATCATTCCAGACAAGTGGCTGTCCCATCTGTTTTTTCCAGCAAGTGAGGAAACACTGTGAAGGCAGGGGAAACCTATCCTCTCCTACTACCTCATCCTAAGAGAACAGAGCAAAATTATACCAGAGCCTAGGCTTTTTCTAGCTTTAGTTTCAATCGAGCCCAAGGCTGGCTTAGGAGGTGGCACGTGACCTGGGCTCTTCTTTTATAGAACTTTCAATTCGAGCGGAATAAAGATGACGCGCTGGTCGCTTATGTAAGTACCCTGTGCGAAACACTGTCCCAGAAATTACTCATTTGACCACCTGCCAGTGACAAAGAGCAAAACTATTTGCTTTAATTAATCATTTTATCGATACGTTTTAGGCTGCCTTATCCCCCGGTTAGGCATTCTCTTTTATTCATTTTGCTCAATTCGTGCATTCTGTAAGTTATTGCACGTTATTGCATCGTCTGCAGGCATAAGATCCTTGCAAGGAAGAGATCTGTGCTAAATAGGAAGCAACCCCACAGAGAATGCCTGGCTTCATGCAATGTACATACACTACAGCCACATTAACAACTTAATTGCTGTGCCTATATAAAAGGCCAAAACAAATATTCCATATGAATGGCTTAATGGATTGGCCCAGTTCCCAAGATCTGTTAAAACGGGACTAGCTTCCCACAACATGGCACAACAATCACAAACCAGAGATGCCTGTGGCTAGCCACAATGATTTCAAGGTGCGTCACATGTTGCGATGTGCATTTTGCCATTTGCCCCTCCTGCAAATGCCTATGCCACAAAGGGCCTGGGTATTTTAGCTTAACCTTGCATGCTGGTTGAATTCAGCCAGTGGGTTATTTGGAAGGAATATGTTTTATCTATTCAAAAGTAGCACTGAAATGGGAAGCCTTGCACTTCTTTATGACAATACAGGTAGTCCTCGACTCGCAACCACATTTGGGACCTGAACTTCCCTGGTTAAGCAATGCAATTGTTAAGTGAGTCGCAGCCAATGTTACAAACTTTTTTTTTTTTTTTTGCTGCAGTCGTTAAATAAATCTAGCTTCCCCATTGACGTTGCTTGTCAAAAGCCCCTCTGGGAATGTCGCCAATGATGATCATGCAATCCCAGGGATGCTGCAACTGTCATAAATACATGCCTGTGCCTGTGACCATGGGACGCTGAGATGGCCATAACTGTGAGGGACCAGTTATAAGTCCCTTTTTTCCCCAGCAGTTGTAAGTCGAGGATTTACTTCTATCCCACTCCTATCAGCCACTAACTGGAAATGGAGATATCAAGAGAGACACAATCAAATGAATCTCTTTTTGAGTCTGTCCCCATATCAGACCCACAGATGAAATAATTCTCTTTCACCATTTCATCGCAACTTCCCTCAGGTTGGTTCCTCCTGAGGAGAGGAAACAGAATGACTCCTGTTCATGGGCTGAACACAGGTAAAACAAAATACCTGACCTCCCAGAGACGGGGCCTTGGAACGTCGGCTCAAATCCATGTTGCCACTGATGGGGTTCAGGGCCATGCGGCTGTGAGAGAGAGACAGAGAGAAAGAGAGAGAGAGAGAGAGAGAGGGAGAGAGAGAGAGAAAGAAAAAGAGAGAGGTCTGTTTGTAACATTCTTAAGTGGCAGCTTGTCTCCCACTTGCCTTCTGTCCTTGCTAAAACACAAACTGTTGAGGGGGAAGAGACTACTACTGCTGTCATTCTTCCAAGTTCTCCTTACATATACACCCACAACTTGCTGTTTGGAGTAAATGTTTGTCAGTATAGACATCTGCCCCTGTACTCGGATCAGAAAATACAAGATGCCGAATCAGAAAATACAAGACACAGAATTTAAGTTGGCTATTCCATTCACTGAAGTATTTTTTCCTCCCAGGATGTAAGGCTTCGCCTTAGACAGAAAGACTGCTTGCAAAATCGTTATTCCAGCAGTTTTGTTTTCTGTTTATCCAATTAATCCATTCTTTCTGTTACATTTGGTTCATGTTTTTGACTGCATGCTCCCACTATATTCTTCTGGTGGAAGAGTACCACCCAACTAGAACTAAGTTAGTAGTTCCAACTAACTAGTTTGAGCATTTTCTTTACCAATATAACTTGGTATTTTAAAAAGTGTTAATTTTCTCTGCATTATTTCACACATTTCTATAATAAAACCTAGCTTTTTTGTGTGTGTGTGTTTATTTTATTTTATTTTTTATTTTATGCTGCCCTTCTCCGGAGACTCAGGGTGGCTTACAAGGCGTTAAGCAATCTGTATCTAGGCTCTAGCGTAGCCCTTATATTATCTCATCTGGTTCAGATGGAATGAAGAATCAGGGTTGGTTATCTTTTTAAATAATTCTGCCAGAATTTCTTTTTATAAATCCGACAGGTTTTCATTCTTTTCATTAAAAACCTTCCTTCTCAAAACTGCAGGAATCGAGTATTTAAAACTTCCCATAGTTCATCCAACTGGCACAGCTTAAATTGCTTCTTGTAAATATATTTCTATAAACCCATTTCGGTTCACTTCATTTCTCCCTCAAGATAATCTTGACTCCTGTTGAGTTTTATTGTTAATTTATTTGGAACGTTTTCATGGCTGCCCAACTCAAACGCGACTCTGGGTGGCATGCAAAAAATCATTAAACTAAAACACAGAAGAAAAATAACACACACCATTAAAGCAAACGAAAACAATTAAATGGCAATCAGGACTAAACAATCGACTAATAAATAAAACACCACTATTAAATCGCAATCAGAATTAAATAGCTCTAACTGGGAGCTCTACTCATCCTGACCCAAGTACTAGCAAAAGAGGCCTTAAATGCCTCTCTAGAAACCTGCAAGATCAGGGTCACTCTCTTATCCCATTTATTTAGGGGGTCAATCCAGCTTGATTTTTGCGACGGTACTTTTCAGCTTTCCAATCTTGTTCACAGCCTTGGGATTTCCTGATGGATTTCCTCCCATCCAAGTAATAACCAGATTGGACTCTGCTTGGCATTTCTAAAATCACCCAGGATCAGCTAGGTGCTGCTCACTCTGATGTCTCTGCACAACCTTTCTCTGTGCAGAAATGATAAAGATGCCCACTGTAGCAGGATTCAATCTGAGTTGGTCATCAGGACCATAGGTTTATTCTTCTGAGCTTTTGGACTCGTGCTGGAGCCCATCCTCAAGGAACTTTATTTATTTATTTATTTATTAGTTTGATTTATATGCCGCCCTTTTCCGGAGACTCAGGGCGGCTTATAATGCGTTAAACTTCTCTCTCTACAAAATGTGTCACTTTTTGGAGAAAGAGAAGTTCCCTGAGGATGGGTGTTCTGACTCAGCTCCCCAAACATGACAAACCCTCTGAAGTGAACTCAAAAGATTCATTAGGAGTGCCGGCAGCCCTGGCAAAAAGTTTCTCTTTCACCTCAAGCTAACAAGCCTATCCGGCAGGGGAGATGAATACCGTTATTTTACAGAGTATAGGACACACTGGAGTATAAGATGCACCTTAGTTTTGGGGGAGGAAAATAAGAAAAAAGCTGATTGGCAGGTGGGGCCTCCCGGAATACTCCCAATCAGCTGTTCCCAGAGGTGAATTTTAGCAACAGGTTCCTTGGTTGTGAGCTCTGTGCCTTGCTTTTTTTTCTGCCTCTGAAACTTCTGAAACTGTTTCAGAAAAAACTTTTTCCTGCCTCTGAAAGCCTCTAAAACAGAGCTTCAGAAAAAAAGCCTCTGAAGCTCTGTCTGGGGGCTTCTTTTCTGAAGTTTCTTTTCTGGTGCTTTTTTCAGCCTCTGAAACCTCTGTTTGAAAAGCTGGGCGGGGCTACATTCGGAGTATAAGACGCACCCAGATTTTCACCCTTTTTTGTGGGAAAACGGTGCGTCTTATACTCTGAAAAATACGGTAGTTGTCTACCACACCTATTCATCTCTGCCCCTGCCTTTTATCCCCAGAGCTAGAATGGGGCTTCACTAGCAGCAGTGGCTCTTCCTTCCCCAGGATCAGCCCATGGATTTCCACTGCTCTCCTCTCCTCTGCCTTTTGCGCATCCGTGCGTCAGGCACTGGACCCAGCTGTTCCTCCTCTTCATCATCAGCCACCTCCAGACCTGGGGGCTGTTGACTCTCCATCCGAGGGCTGACGGACAGCCCAGGATCTGCCTCTGTCTCTCTCTCTCTCTGCCAGCTCCATTCCCTCTTCCCCCTTGGAGCTCTCAGGTTGCCTTGATGCTGACCCTGACTGCCATGCCTCCTCCTCATCTGATTCGGCTGCTGGAGGGACCGGCGGCCGATGGGCCATAACGGGTTTCAGGGCGAGTCTAAAAGCTTGGAAGAATAAACTTCTGGTCCCAGTGACTGATTCAAATTGGATCCTGCAACTGGGACAGTCCCAAAGGTGAAATAACCCAAAGGTTTTTTTCTTTGAAGACATTTTGCTTCTCATCCAAGAAGCTTCTTGGATGAGAAGCGAAACATCTTCAAAGAAAAAATAGACTGCCTCTTGGAAAAGCATCTTTGGGACAACCATGACCTGGATGACTGTGAATCTCCATAGACATTTCTCCTGGGACAGGTATATTCTGCCTTCCTTCACAAGCCCAGTGTACCTCGATAGGTCAGTAGGTGGAGGTAGACACCAGGGGACACCAGGCACCGGATGAAACATCTGCCCTGGAGCAGGCAGATAACTCTCTGGTGTGTATAAAGCTTCATTTCCATGGCAACCTGCAGAAAAAAAGAAAGTTGTAAGTGGCTGTTGTCAAGCCTGAGCAGGAAGGCCAATAAGAGGCTTACAGTATAAAAAGATTGTAAAGTTTTATTATGTGATTTATATACATTATTATATAGTGTATAAAACGGATGTGTTGGCTCAGTGGCTAAGACGCTGAGCGATCGAAAGGTCAGCAGTTCAGTGGTTCGAATCCCTAGTGCCGCTTAACAGGGTGAGCTCCCGTTCCTTGTCACAGCTTCTGCCAACCTAGCAGTTCGAAAGCACGTAAAAAATGCAAGTAGAAAAATAGGGACCACCTTTGGTGGGAAGGGAACAGCGTTCCGTGCACCTTTGGCGTTGAGTCATGCCGGCCACATGACCACGGAGATGTCTTCGGACAGCGCTGGCTCTTCGGCTTTGAAACGGAGATGAGCACCGCCCCCTAGAGTCGGGAACGACTAGCACATATGTGCAAGGGGAACCTTTACTTTTATATATTGTATATGCAGCCCAAAACAATTCCTCTTCACTCCATGCAGCCCAGGCAAGCCAAAAGGTTGGACACTCATGCTAGCTTCAATGACTAAAATAATAGGTTACCTACCTTCCATACACGGAAGATTAAAGGAATGCTCCTGAGGCAGGAAAGGGGAGAAAGAGCTTGGGGGCATTGCAAGAGGAGGCGGGAACCAAGGAGGAGGAGCATGATGTCCTCCGAGAGCCCAGGGCAGCTCAGTCACTTTTGAACAAGGAGACAGAGGTAACCAGGAATTTTCCTAAAGGACAACATATAGCATAAATTAGTATAAGAAACATATTGTAAATACTATACTGTGTAATCTTACACGTTATTCTGTGACATCAATGAATTCCTTCCCCCTCACCCCCCAGCATTCATCTTACTGAAATTTATTTGCAGAAAATAATGTACTGTAATTTTAAAAGATAACTTTTATGGGTTTTTTTGGAATTTTTAGGAAAGCTTACTTGAGCCACAAAATATGTTAGCTAGTTATCCTTAGAAAATCACTGTTGTATGTAGACTATTCATTACATAGGTATTAACACATTTGTCTTAGGCTCTTAGGAACGCCGGAAAAAAGCATTGCCAATTGGGAAATCCTGTTTCAGTTTGTCAGAATTAATGGCCACATGGTGATTGCTGATAAAATACTGAGAGGTAAATGTTTTCTCTACAAAATATTAAGATTTTCCACATAAAAATCCTCGATTTACGACCGCAATTGAGCCCAACATTTCTGTTATTAAGCGAGTCATTTGTCAAGTGAATTTTGTCTCATTTTATGACTTTTCTTACCATAATTGTTAAGAGAATCACTGCAGTTGTTAAGTTAGTAATGCGGTTGTTAAGTGAATCTGGCTTCCTCATTGATTTTGCTTGTCAGATGGTCACAAAAGGGGATCACGTGACCCCCGAGGCACTGCAACCATCATAAATATGAGCCGGTTGCCAAGTGTCTGAATTTTGATCATGTCACTACGGGGATGCTGCAACGGTCATAAGTGTGAAAAATGGCCATAACTCACTTTTTTCAGTGACGTCGTAACTGTGAACGGTTGCTAAATGAACTGTTGTAACTCGAGGACTACCTATACTGTATAGTTCATAGAATGAGATAAATAGCGTTCCTTATTTTTGTTTCCTTTGCCATGGATTCTGTTAAACTTTTTAAAGGAATCTTGTTTTTAGGGAAGTATGATAGGTGAGGCGCTACATGGAATCTGCTGTTAAAATGACTTCGTCTATAAGAACTTATTTTCTCACCTTCCTTGCAGTTCTCCGCCTTTGTCTTCGCAGGAGTCCTGAAGTTCCTCGGAGTCCATCTTCTGACTCGTTCATAGGTTCTTCATTTTCCTTCTTGTCTATCCAATCAAAGGGGAGAATGGGTCCAATATGAATCATTGTTTGGCCAATGGTCAAGATTCCCAGGCTGAACCACAACAGTTTCCTCAGTCGTGATGTGTCACGTCTTCTAGAACAAGCGTTTCTCGGTCTCAGCCACTTTTAAGATGTGTGGACTTCAACTCCCAGAATTCCCCTGGGATCCACACAGTTGAAGTCCATACATCTTAAAAGTGGCTGAGACTGAGAAACACTTGTTCTAGAATCTAGCTCAGGGGTGTCAAACTCGATTTCATTGAGGGCCGCATCAGGGTTGTGTTTGACCTTGGGGGGGGGCGGGGCGTGGTCAGGGTAGGTGTGGCTAGTTCGACATCACTCATGTGGGGGGCACCTTTGATGGCCCATGCATTCTGCCAGTGAAAAGAGGTTCCCGAGCTCTGTTTTCGGCTGTGACGGCTTCCTGCAACCCTCTGCCAGTGAAAACGGAGCTTGGGAGGGCTGCGGGTGGCTCTCCCGAGCTCCATTTTTGCTGGCAGAAGCACCGTAGGCTGGTCCTTCATTGTTTCCAGGGCGGCCCTTGGGCCAGCTCTAAGCACCCCACGGGCTGCTTGAGTTTGACACCCCTGATCTAGAACATCTACTCATTACTAAGCCACTGTAGCCTTTTTTTTTAAATTTTTGTATTCCATCAGATGCTAGAAATGGTTTTACCTGTCCCTCCCCTGCATGGTTTAATCGCTTTCAGCGGTTTGGCCAAGGGGAGGAAGTTTGGTGGCCCACTGTCTTGAAGCTGTAGCAAACCACTGGGAAAGTGTCGTTTCAGCTCCAGTTCCTGTTGTCTACGAAGAGCCACTTGGGCGGCCATGACCCGGCGTCTTTGCCTAGAAGATCCAATATATATATATCTTTACAATCAAATAACAGAAGAAGGAAAGACAAAGCATTGTTTGCACTATTATTCTAATAATCCTTCCCACTGACTGCACGACAATGGCCTGGTTGTCTCCAAAGCTAAATGAAGCAGTTCAATTGGTCAAGAGAAACGAAGCGACTTTATTGCCTTGAGTTTTAATTAACTTAACAGTAGCAGGGTTGGAAGGGACCTTGGAGGTCATCTAGTCCAATCCCCTGCTCACGCAGGAGACCTGTACTAGGGATTCGAACCGCCGAACTGTCTACCTTTCTGATTGACAAGCTCAGTGTCTTAGCCACTGAGCCACTTCACTGCTTAGAGAACAGGATATAAATCAGGAACTAAATACATTTCTGTACTTCTTCAATTTCACTTCCCTCTGATGTTCACCTGTCAATTAACCCAATGGGGATAAAGAGGCTTGTAAATCAGGAATAGCTTCCTGGATCTGCTTTGGGCTCTATAAGGGATGCGTAATTAATACAGGTAGTTCTCGACCTACAGCCATTCATTTAGAGCCCATTTGAAGTTATAATGGTCCTAAAAAAAAGTGGCTTATGACTGACATGACCGTTGCAGCATCCCCACGGTCACATGATCAAAATTTAGATCCTTGGCAACCGGCTCGTATTTATGATGGTTGCAGCCTCCCGGGGTCACATGATCGCCTTTTGCAACCTTCTGACGAGTAAAGTCGACAGAGAAGCCCAATTCCCTTAACAACCATGCCGTGATTCACTTAACAACTGTGGCAAGAAAAGTTGTAAAATGCAAACTCACTTAGCAACTGAAATGCTGGGCTCAATTGTGGTCGCAAGTCGAGGACTACCTGCAATGCCCCCTCATGTTGTTCAAATGATGGCACAGTCGTTAGAATGCAGTATTGAAGGCGAATTCTGCCCACTGCCAGCAGTTCGATCTTGTCAAGATTGTGACTCAGCTTTCCATTCTTCCCAGGTCGGTAAAACGAAGACCCAGATTGTTGGGGGAAAGAGGCTGACTCTGTAAACCGCTCAGAGAGTGCTTTTAAAACACTGTGAAGCGGTATATAAATCTAAGTGCTATTGCTATCTTCCCTTGGCAAAAGCAAATGGCATTTGTAATTTAGCACAATCTAGAGGGCCATATTGTGTCTATCCCTGCTTTAAAAAACGCCTTTAAGATGCTAGCATACAGTCATGTTCCTCCCATTAAAACTGAACACTTTCAAGATTGCTTTTCATTTTCAGAGCAAGTTACTGGCCGAGAAGCTATTAGTTCAACCAGAAGCGGCTGTTATTTGGAAACAAAAGCAGGCACTATCCTCCTGAACATGTTTCCAAGCTACCAAATCCCTGCAAAGAGCAATTCAGTTCTTATTTATGCTTCCCACTGAGGCCCATCCGATGATGCCGTCAGCTGCAGCACACCTAACAAGAACAGCAAAGCCCGCCATTTCATTTTCACCATGTTTCCCCCTCCCAGCTTACAGAATAAGGATGCATTTGTCACACTGGCAGTCCATGAATTGGCAACAGTTCTTGTGGCCTTTCAATGGCACCCTGATGCCATGATTACGGCAGCGGGCGCAGGTTGGAGAGCGTGCCGTGGTGGGAAGTGGGTAGTCATCTTGCGTGGCACTGTTCTCCACAGAGGAGTCTGAAAGGCTGCTCTGAACATTTGAGGCACCTGCAGCATCAAGATCCTCATTGTCCCCCATAACGTGTGAACCTGAAAGAGAGAGAGGAAATATCTTTTGAAGAAAACATAAAAGCCCTTCCTCAGTCACAGTACATCCAACAACAGAGTTAGTTGGCTACTGTTTAGGAAATTTAATTTTTTTCCAATTCATCCCATGTTTTATACACATCAAAAACATTCCCCAGAGATTTAACCCTGCCATGCATCTTCTATCTTTTTCCTTATTTGAAACATGCATTTCCCCTCTATATTTTGAAGTTGCTTTCTGACTTTAGAACAGCACTGCCAGAGAGGGATTAGCATATACAGGAAACTAAATTAAAGTTATTTTTTTTAAGTGAGCCAAATCTGCGTCCAGAAAAGTCATTTCTAAATAAGCGAAATGTTGGCTTGAGGCCACATAAAGATAACAATGAGAGGTCAGGAATAATACTAGAATCTCTTTCTGTGAAATGAGGGCCTTTATGGGAAAAGCCTGGTCTATTAATTGCCACCATAAATTGTTTGGGGATATTTCCTGTTTGCAAGATTCAGGGGACACCCCGTGAGTCGTTTTGATATATGACTGAAATGATCATGCTGGAATTGGACGGAGTCCATCAAAATTGGGCAGCTGTAATAAATGAAATGAAATGAAATGAAATAAACGAACTCCCAGGACAACAAAGGTTTGACAAAGGGCGCAGACTGGACCCCAGTTGGCAGTCTTAAGAGGGCCCCCTCGCATGTGACATCTTCTAAAAGGATCTCAGGTTGCTCCGACTGCAATCATGGCTTGACCTAAACCAGAGTTTGCTTAATCCTGGATTGCTGGCTCAAGACCCAACTGGCTGGCTTCCCCTGTCCTGAAGCATAATAAACCATGGTTTGCAAAGGCTGCAGGTCTCAGAGGAGACCAAAACCAAGGACTCAAAGGCTTCAGACAATTTCACACAATGGGGGAGAGCCCCATGTGGGAATCAGGATCCCGCAACAAGCAGGGATGCAGCTGCACCCCGAGGTGCCCCCAAATTTTGGCTAGGAAAAAAGAGATTTGCAGGGGTTTTAAAGCAACCAGGCCTTTTTCAAAAACTTTTTTTATATATGCTTTTCAATCAGGAGGAGGAAAAGATTTAGACGGGTCGACCTCAACCAGAATAGTTGTGAGGCAACAAGGGGGATCTTTGATCTCTCTGATAAGGTCACTCCTGGGGGACTAGGCAGTGAGGTGCCACTAAAATACTGCATAATAAAAGGTTATTTGTGCGTGGAGCGCCGAGGTAGAGAGAGAAACTTTACGCAAGAATTAAATCTGCATTTCTGAAACCTCTCTACACCCACCGCCACCCCATAAAACGGTCCCTGCAACAGCTCCCCGCCAAGCAGCCAGTCGCAGCTTTCCTAACATCCTCCCTTGGCAAGGCGGGCCAATCAACGGCGGCCTGTTATTTTCCCTCAACCCCAGCGGCCAATCAGGATCCTCCTGATTTGCCTGCTTTTGATCGGGATTTATAAACTGTCGCTTTTCCAGGCTGGGGAAATACAAAAGGCCGAAGGACTGGAGCTCGCGCCGGTGGGGTGAAGGGCGACGGCCTCTCAAACATTTGGGAAGGAGGGAACGAGCAACAGTTGGGCCGAACCATCGCAACGTCATTGGGGGGGGGAAACAGTCAAAGACAGTGTAAAAGGGGTGGGTGTCACCTCTTTAATATAAAGCAAATAAAAAAAGTTTTTTTGAGGGACGATAATTCTCTCTCTCTCTCTCTCTCTCTCACACACACAAAAACACACACAAAAACACAGAAAAGCACTGAATTCTAAACTCTGGGTTATTTAGATACATTCAATTAACTAATCCAAGTTAGAACTAATCGAGGATGGAGCTATGCAGATTAACGTTAACACTTTTAAATGTTTTTAACTGGTTGTCATTGTTTTTTTTAATTATGGGGTCAAATTTATATATATCTTTTTAATAGTATTTTAATGTTTGTAGTTTATGTTTTTATTTGGCTGTACACCGCCCTGAGTCCTCAGGGAGAAGGGCAGTATATAAATTTGATATAAAATAAAATAATAAAAAAAAGGTAGATATTTATCCCTTCAGTGGAATTTGTTGATCTCTCTTTGTCACCATTAATATTTCAGAAACCCTAATGAATATTGTATCAGCTTCTTTTTATCTTTAAAAAGTTTAAATAGGAGAGCAGTAATCATCTTAATCAATATTCTATAAATGCCCCTGAACTCAAATAATATAACGTACTACTTGTGTTTTACACAGATAGTTCTTAACTTACAACCACACAATGGAGCCCAAAATTTCTGTGGCTAAGCGAGACACCTGTTAAGTGAACTTTGCCTCGTTTTATGACTTGTCCTGCCACCGTTGTTAAGTGAACCACTGCAGTTGTTAAATTACTAACACGATTGTTAAGTGAATCTGGCTTCCCCAATGACTTTGCTTATCAAAAGATTGCAAAAGGGGATCACATGACCCCAGGATATTGTAACCATCATAAATTGATTGCCAATGATTGCCAAACTGACCAAGGAGAGATTCAACCTAGAAATAAGGAGAAATTTTCTGACAGTGAGACCCATCAACCCATGGAACAGAAGTTGCCTTCGGAAGTTGTGGTAGCTTCATCACTGGAGGCTTTCGAGAAGAAACTGGACTGCCATCTGTCAGAAATGGTGCAGGGTCTCTTCCTTGAGCCTCTGTGTGTGTGTGTGTGTCTCTCTGTGTGTGTGTGTCTCTCTCTCTCTCTCTCTCTCTGTGTGTGTGTGTGTGTGTGTGTAAAAAGAGAGATATCTTAACTGCCCTGGTGAGAAGTCAGTCGCTTCTCTGGAGGCTAAAACATATAAAGAACGGTTGCAGGAACCGGGCATGGCTAGTTTAGTGAAGAGAAGGACCAGGGGAGACATGATAGCAGTCCCCAGAGAGGAGGGGGTCAAGCTATTTTCCAAGCCACCTGAAAGCCAGACAAGGAATAATGGATGGAAACTGACCAAGGAGAGATTCAACCTAGAAATAAGGAGAAATGTTCTGACACTGAGACCCATCAACTCATGGAACAGAAGTTGCCTTCAGAAGTTGTGGGAGCTTCATCACTGGAAGCTTTCAAGAACAGAGTGGATTGCCATCTGTCAGAAATGGTGCAGGGTCTCCTCCTTGAGCCTCTGTGTGTGTGTGTGTGTGTGTGTGTGTGTGTTGGATCAGATGACCTATAAGATCCCCTCCAAGTCTGTTAATCTGTTGATCTGTCCCCCCCCCATAGCCTTCCGGTGGCCCATCCTGGCACAGACTCTATCCTTCAAACAAAATCAGGCGATTTCGGGGAAGCGAAGAGACCGGCCCCCTCCAGCCTTCTCTTTCGCTTTCGGCTGCTGCTTTATAAAACCTCCGAGCGAGATGAGCGCAGGAGGGGAGAGAGATCGCTGCAGACGGCAAAGAGACCGGGCGGCCGATCCACTGATTTCCTTTGCAAAGACGGTAAAGTGGGGCGGAGAACCCGGGAACGGGTGGGGGCGACGCTTCTCCCCCCCCCCGGCCCTTCGCCGTAGCGGCAGGGGCTTTCTGGACTTGGGGGTCCTCCGGCCAGGCTGGGTGGGTGGGTGTCCCGGGTCCCCCTTGCCGGCTCTAGCCGAGCACTTGCGGAGGATGCGGGAGGCAGAGACGGGGTGGGGGGCGTGAAGGGCTGGCAGGAGGGTCCGTTGGGGGCCAGGAGGGTTTCTTGTCTTTGGAGAGGGGCGGGTGGGAGGTTGGGGGGCTCCTGGGCAGAAATGCTTCTGGGGAAGCTGCAGGGTGAGTAGTCCCCTTTGGCCCATCACTGCCTTTTGATGGGTCTGCCATCGGGGGCTGGGTTGGCTCTGGAGACCCACTGCCCTTCAGCTGAGTGGCTTCTGGAAGTCTGGGGGGAAGATGGCTTGAGAAGGGATCTGGGATGACAAAGCCCATGTGCTCCCTGACCTGGGATGGGCTTAATGTCACCGTGAGGCCATGAACTTGGGGGAAGGGTCTTTCATAGTTCTTCTTTGGGAAGGAAGTTCCTGCACCTGCCACATCTTCTCTGCAGCTGCATCTTCTCCACAATGCTGATGGAGGCTCCCGTGTGCCTGATTGAGACCGGGCCAAATGGCCTCCGGGCTTGCCCGGAGGCCCTTCAGTTGCTCTCTGAAATCCGGAAGCCGGTGGTGGTGGTGTCCATCGTGGGACTGTATCGCACGGGCAAGTCCTACCTGATGAACAGGCTGGCTGGCAAAACTACCGGTGAGAACGTCTGAGATGAACCAGGGTTATATCCACAAGGTTAAAACCTGGGTGGGAAAATGAACATCCCCAATTCCAGGGTTTCCTGCTCCAATGGACAGGTGTGGATGCAATTTTCCCAAATGCTCACTATGAATGATCATCATCTGGTGACAAGGAACCCTTTGGACCAATGTTAGCTTGCAGAATTTTATCATAGTTTTTACGATTATTATTAGCTTCATTGGGCAAACCAGACAGGAAACCAAATCTACAAATCTACTGTATTGTAAAGCTGCCTTGACAGAATCTTGCAAGTATGAAAGTACAATTCTCCACTCATCTCCTTTACCACCGGAGAAACTAGGGAAGGTCTCTTCGGAGCCTCTTGCTCCTCCCATTATCCATCTGCAGCTTGAGCTGCCTCTTGTCCGACCATTTTTTAGGCAGTGTCTCCTTGGCTAGATGCCCAAGGCCTTTCCCACATACCGTTTAAGTCGCTGATTTAATCAATGCATATTTATGCTTCTGCTCCTGAGTTTCTGTTTGGCTTCTGAGAAATGTAGCCCCTTCCCCTTTTCTTTGAGGATTCTTCTGTTCAACATGATGTATGTTTGATAAGCATTTTCATCTGGGAAATGGCACCCTTGCATAACTTCCTATTTCAAAGGGTTAACAAAAACAGTAAACAACTAGAAAAACTGGTGGTGAAAACCTCTGTCTTATTATTAACTGTGGCTTACATATTACAAGATGACTGTTTGGGATCTAAAGTATATCACATTTTTTCCATTTGTAGGTTTCTGTTTGGGCTCCACAGTGCAAGCAAAAACGAAAGGAATCTGGATGTGGTGCATTCCCTATCCGGACAGGCCTAACCAAACCCTTGTCCTTCTGGATACTGAAGGATTAGGTGACATAGGAAAGGTGAGTTTGTATTTGTATATTTCTTTTTACAAAAGAATGCCATTACACATAGTCCTCAACTTACAACAGTCACATGATCAAAACTGGGAACCGGCATGTATTTAGGATGGTTGGAATGTCCCTGGATCATGTGTGATTGCCATTTGTGATCCTTCCCAGCTGGCTTCCAACAAGCAAAGTCAACGGGGTAAACTTTGGATTATTTCAATGACCGTGTGATTCATGTAACAACTGCAGTCATTCACTTAACAACTATGGCAAAAAAAAAAAAAAACTATGGCAAAAAAAAAAAGTTGTAAAAGTAGGTAAGACTCGCTTAAAAACCACCTTGCTTGACAATGGAAGTTCTGGTCCCAATTCTGATCATAAGTTGAGGACTATCTCACTAAATATGACTTTCCAGAAAGAAGATTTCAATATTAATATCAAGGGTCAGGCCTGATATACCAGAGATGGGTTTCAACAGGTTCTGACCAGTTCTGGAGAACCGATAGCAGAAATTTTGAATAGTTCAGAGAACCAATAACTCTGACTGGCCCCGCCCCCAACTATTCTCTGCCTCCTGAGTCCCAGTTGATCAGGAGGAAATGGAGATTCCTGCCACAGCCACCAAGCCACGCCCACCAAGCCACACTCACAGTACCGTTAGTAATTTTTTTGAATTCCACCACTGTAATATATCCCTATCAAATCCAAAGATAAAAATCGAAAGGCTTTTAATTGTCCCTGAACTACAACTCCCAGCACCCTGTATAGATGAATGATTTAGTGAATGAATTTATGGACTGGTGAATGAATGCTATCTCATTCTCCTAAAAAGTTACCTTCTAGCGAACGTGTGGCTGTTCCAACACTAGAGATTTTAAAGAAGACCTTGGACAACCATGTGTCTGAAATGGGTTTCCTGCTTGAGCAGAGGGTTGGACTAGAAGACCTACAAGGTCCCTTCCAACTCTGTTATTTTGCTATATATTCAGAATAATAATAATAATAATAATAATAATAATAATAATAATAATAATAATTTTATTTCTATACCGCCCTTCTCCCGAAGGACTCAGGGCGGTGTACAGCCTATTTAAAAACACAGACAAAACAATGATATAAAATTTAAAATAATTAAATAAGTGGCTCAAATTTAAAACCCCAATAAATTTAAATACCCCAATTAAAACTATTGTGTTGATAGTCCGGCCTGGCGGAACAACATGGTCTTCAATGCGCAGCGAAACACCCGGAGTCGGAGATCGTACGAATTTCCGGGGGCAGTTCGTTCCACAGGGCTGGGGCTCCCACAGAGAAGGCCCTCCCCCTGGGCGCCGCCAGCCGACATAACTTGGCTGATGGCACCCTGAGGAGACCCTCTCTGTGGGAACGAACTGGTCAGTGGGAGGCTATTGGTGGCAGAAGACGGTCTCGGAGCTACCCAGGTCCTATGCCATGGAGCGCTTTAAAGGTGGTAACCAACACCTTGAATCGCACCCGGAAGACCACCGGGAGCCAGTGCAGCTCGCGCAGGAGGGGTGTCACATGGGCATAACGGGTTACGCCCATAACCACCCGCGCGGCCGCATTCTGGACCAGTTGGAGCCTCCGAGTGCTCTTCAAGGGGAGCCCCATGTAGAGAGCATTACAATAGTCCAACCGGGAAGTAACAAGGGCATGAGTGACCGTGCGCAGGGCGTCCCGATCCAGAAAGGGCTGCAACTGGCGAATCAGGCGAACCTGATAAAAGGCCCCCCTGGCCACGGCCGTCATATGCTCTTCTAAAGACAGCCGCGCGTCCAGGAGGACACCCAGATTGCGAGCCCTCTCCGTGGGGGGCAAAGATTCACCCCCAATAGTCAGCGATGGCACCTGCTGACTATATCGGGGCGCCGGAAGCCACAGCCACTCGGTCTTGGAGGGGTTGAGTCTGAGCCTGTTCCTCCCCATCCAGACCCGCACGGCCTCCAGGCAGCAGGACATCACATCAAGGGCATCATTGGGGTGGTCTGGGGTGGAGATGTACAGCTGAGTATCATCAGCGTACAGATGGCACTTCACCCCAAAACCACGGATGATCTCACCCAGCGGCTTCACATAAATGTTGAACAGGAGGGGCGAGAGGACCGACCCTTGCGGCACTCCCCATGCGAGACGCCTCGAGGTCGACCTCTGCCCCCCTGCCAACACGAACTGCGAGCAGTCGGAGAGGAAGGAGGAGAACCACCGCAAAACGGTGCCCCCTATTCCTAACCCCCTCAACCGCTGCAACATGATACCATGGTCGATGGTATCAAAAGCCGCTGAGAGATCTAATAGGACTAGGACAGAGGAACAACCCCTGTCCCGAGCCCTCCAGAGATCATCCACCAACGCGACCAATGCCGTTTCTGTGCTGTACCCCTGCCTGAAGCCCGACTGGTACGGGTCTAGATAGATAGCTTCATCCAGGTGCCGGGGAAGTTGTCGTGCCACCACGCTCTCAACAACCTTCGCCACAAAACGAAGGTTGGAGACTGGACGATAGTTGGCTAATTCAGCCGGGTCCAGGGAAGGCTTCTTGAGGAGGGGCCTCACTACTGCCTCTTTCAAGGCAGCAGGAAAGGCACCCTCACCCAAAGAAGCACCTATAATCCCCTGGAGCCAGCCTCGTGTGACCTCCCGGGAGGCCAGTACCAACCAGGAGGGACACGGGTCCAATAAACACGTGGCGGCACTAATCTTACCCAGAACCCTGTCCACATCCTCGGGAGTCACAGGATCAAACTCCTCCCAGATAACATTCTCAAGACCTGCCCTGGTCTCCTCCCGTGGACTCATCCAATCGGAGTCCAAGCCGAATCCGAGCGACTTTATCGTGCAGGAATTGCACAAAATCCTCAGCACGACCCTGCAAGGGATCTTCCCGCACTCCCCCCCGAAGAAGGGAGTGGGTCACCCTAAACAGGGCAGCTGGGCGGTTCTCTGCAGATGCGATAAGAGCGGAAAAATGGTTAGATTTTGCCGCTTTTATCGCCACTAGGTAGGTCTTGATATAAGACCTCACCTGTGTCCGGTCGGAATCGGATTGACTAGTCCTCCAAATGCTCTCTAGGCGTCTTTTCCGATGCTTCATCTCTCTCAGCTCCTCAGAGAACCAAGGAGCTAATTGAGATCGGCATCGGGTCAGAGGCCGCAAAGGCACGACGCGGTCCAAAGCTCCAGCGGCCGCCCTTTCCCAGGCGGCCACCAGCTCTTCAGTCGAGTCGTGTGTTAGAGTCTCAGGAAACGGCCCAAGCTCCGTCAGGAACCTTTTGGGATCCATCAGGCGCCTGGGACGGAACCATCTGGTCGGTTCCGTCTCCCTGCGGTGGGGGCAGGCGGTAGGAAAGTCTAGTTGAAGGAGTGAATGATCTGTCCATGACAAGGGTTTAATATCTAGGTCCCCTCTACCAAGATCATTCAACCACTGACCAGAGATAAAAATCAGGTCCAGAGTGTGTCCCCCTATGTGAGTGGGGCCTTGAAGAAGTCAGAAGGAGATCATAACTACTACTTCTTCTTTCTTAGGGCAATTTTCAAAATGATGCCTGGATCTTCGCTTTGGCTGTGTTGCTGAGCAGCACCCTGGTCTACAACAGTGTGGGGACCATTGATCAGACTGCCCTGGACAAGCTTCAGTATCCTTCTCAAGGATAGCTCTGTAGATCTATGTCAGAGGTGGGGAAGTATAGCTGGCTGAGGAATTCTGGGAGTTGAAGTCCACAGGTCATAAAAGGGCCATAGTTCCCCACCGTTTTTTTAAAATTATTATTATATAAAATACAAAAAAAGAAAAAAAATAAGAAATTAAGGGCAGGAAAGGGAACAGGAAAAGGGGGGTGGAATACAAGGGGGAAGAGAAAGAGAAAGAAAAAGAAAAAAGGGGAATTAACTCCCAGCTCTTCCTAGCTCAGGACAAGATAAACACATTCCAGCCTCAACTTCTTGCTTTTACACATTAATATATAACTAGCCATTTCTATAACACCAAATCTTTCTAATTAACAAAACCAAGATCAAAGTTTCATTTTTTTTTCCTTCACAGGCACAAATCCCAGAAGTGATATCCAAATAAGAACATACTTTCCTCTTTAAATAAAGTAATCAAGTTAACCATTCCTGCTTTATCTTCCTTGCTATGGAAATAACGTATATTTCTAATTGCACCTAGTAATCTTTATAAACTCTCACCGTTTTTATTTACAAAGTTTATTATATTCTTTCAAATTCTTTGGCTAAAAAAAAAAGGGGGAGAATCTTCCCCTCCCTTCTCCCTCCTTTTTTCCCTTTAAAGGTACTAAACATTTTTTAAATAAAAATGACACTTTTTTTCTTGTAAGTCAAAACCTTCTATTACATCTTATTCTTTAACATACAAGCTTTAAACTTCAATATTCTCTTTAGCTCCCTCCCTCCAACCTTTATAGAATAATTATTTATTTATTTTATAAATATCCTTTTATAAAGGATGTTTATTAAAAACTAAGTTTTTCTTTAAACTGATTTATCTTTTTTTTTTACTTTCTCTTAATACAGACACTCTCAAATACATTTTCAATAACTCTTGCCTACTTTAAGAGTTGCTTAAGCAATTATATATATATGTGTGTGTGTGTGTGTGTGTGTGTGTGTGTGTCTTTTAAAAAATACAGCTCTGAAGTTCCCCATCCCTGTTCTATGTAATCAGATTTGGAGTGAGGCATCTTTCAGAAACATCCTTGCCTATGTAATTTCCAAGTTCATCCACTGCTTTTTCCCAGCATGCTAAACTTGATTGATTGAATATTGACTGGTTACATTTGGGATATTGTGCAGAAGCAGAAAATGGGTTGAGGCAACAAATAGGTGAAGCCTGTTATTAGAACCACTTTGCTCTTCATCAGGGGTAATTTCACTTTCATTTTGAGAGCTATAATGTTGTGTCATTTATTTGACAATTGCCGTGGTAGCAGATTTTCTCTCTACACTTCCAGGCCACCCTCTTTACTCACTGCTCATGTACATGTATTGATTCCTAAACTGGGCCAATAGTTTTGTGACAGAGGTGTCTGAACATATCAAGGCAAAGGCTTCCTCCAGCCCTGGAGATACAGATGACTCTTCTGAATTTGTTGGCTTCTTCCCAACCTTTGTCTGGGCGGTGCGAGATTTCACACTGCAGCTGGAAGAGGATGGGCAACCCATCACGGAGAATGATTATCTTGAACATGCTCTGGAATTAAAAAAAGGTACTGATGGCAGATGCAGTGTGAAGATCTATGTGGTTGTTCGGATAAGGAATAGGAGCTGTTGGGCCTAACTTTTCCTTCTTCAGGGAGAAGCAAAACAGACCTCAGTTATTAGTGAAAAGAGTCTCTTGAGCCAGTTGAATTTTTCTCTTTGATCTCCCTCTTTGAAGTCACCAGGCTAGAAACCAGGAGATGGTGAGTTCAAGTCCCACCTTAGCCATGAAATCTTAGCTGGGTGACTTTGGGCCAATCATCAGGAGATGGTGAGTTCTAGTCCCATCTTAGCCTTGAAAGTTGGTTGGGTGGCTTGGGCCAATCGCTAGGAGACTATGAGTTGTAGTCCTGCCTTCTCCAATGAAATGTCCACTAGCAGATGCAATTCAGACTTACCTTCAAGATGGACATGTTGCTTTCTAGGGAACACCGAAAAGGATCAGATGTTCAATCTGCCACGCAAATGCATCCGGCTGTTCTTCCCCACCCGGAAGTGTTTTATCTTTGATTGCCCTACTAAAAGGAAGAAGTTACCTTACCTGGAAGAGATGGAGGACAGAGATCTGGAGCCTGAATTTGTGGAACAAGTGAAGATGTTCTGTAGTTTCATCCATTGGGCTTCTCGAGAGAAGACTCTTCCAGGCGGGCACATTGTCACTGGCAACTGTAAGTGCCTCTAGTTCTACTATTACTACAGGTACTTCTTGACTTACAACCATAACTGAGCCGAGAATTTCTATTGCTAAGCAAGACAGTTGTTAAGTGAGGTTTGCCTGATGTTACAATCTTTCTAGTCACAGTTAAGTGTTAAGTGAATCTGGTTTCCCCATTAACTTCGCTTTGTCAGAATATTGCAAAAATTGATTACATCACCCCAGGACCAGTGGTGGGATTCAGCCTGTTCGGACGGATGTGGGCTGTTAATTTTTATCTGGTTCGCTGAACCGGATGTTCCAGGGACTGGCTGACCCCGTCCTCCCCACCCAGAAGTCTCCACGCGACCTGTTTTGGATGCCAGGTAAGTGCAGGGCGTGCGCAGAGGCTCTGGGAGGGCGAAAAACGGACCTATCGGAAGTCTCTGGACCCCAGCGGAGGCCGTTTTCACCCTCCTGGAGGCTCGAGGAAAGCCTCCGGAGCCTGGGGAGGGCAAAAACGCCCCGCTACCATGATGCAGGAAGCCGAGTAGGCCACGCCTGCGTGGCCTTGTCCACCCAGCAACCGGGCAGCGAATCCGTTGCTGAAATTTTTCAATTCCATCCCTGCGCGGGACACTGCAACCATCATTAATACATGTCAGTTGCCAGGCACCTGAATTTTGATCATGTGACCACAGCCTTTGTTGACTATGGACCACTCGCTGCATCATGTTGCTGTCATGTGACATTTCGCGACCTTTTTTCCATTCGTGGAGCTGGGCTGGGCGTGGCCTGCGTGTGATACATCTGGGCCGCGGGCCGCCAGTTTGACACCCCTGATCTAAGGCATTATGCCACAAGTTGCTTTCCAATCTGGATGGATGCCGACTGCCCTATTTTCCCAGCCTGGGTAGCTTTCTGGAGGAGGCTTCATTCAAGAGAATGAGCGATAAGGAGTTCAAATCTTCCAGCTGTCCCTGACTGATAATAATAATAAAAGTAGTTCTCAATTTCTACTATTCATTTAGTGACTGTTTGGAGTTACAATGCACTGAAAAAAGTAACCTATGACCATTTTTCACACTTAACAATCATTGCGGTATCCCCATCTCTTGTGGTCAAAATTCAGAAGCTTGGCAACTGGCTCATATTTATGACGGTTGCAGTGTCCCAGGGTCATGAGAAAGTCAGTGGGGAAGCCATTCACTTATTAACTATGTTATTAACTTAACCACTCCAGCGATTCACTTAGCAATTATGGCAAGACAGACCATAAAATGGGGCAAAACTCACTTAACCAGCGTCTTGCTTAGGAACAGAGATGTTGCGCTCAGTTGTGGTTGTAAGTCTAGACTACACCCATATATGCAGCTGATGCTCCAACAATCTATTATGTTTGTCTATGCAGTGTTGGCAAAGTTAGTCAAGTCCTATGTGGATACTATCTCCAGTGGGAACGTTCCCTGCCTGGAGAACGCAGTCTTGGCCTTGGCGGAGATTGAGAACAGGGCAGCCTTGCAGGAAGCAGTTGCTCACTATGCACAACTGATGGAGCAAAGCTTGCAGCTACCCACTGAGACTCTCCAGGAACTTCTGGACGTACACAAAAAATGTGAGGAACAAGCCCTTGAGAAGTTCATGGCTCGTTCCTTTAAGGATGATACACGTCAGTTCCAGGCTGAATTCATGGTAGGTACTGTATTTTTCAGAGTATAAGATGCTTCGGACTATATGATGCACCTACCTTTCTTGGGGAGGAAAATAAGAAAAAAAAATTGCCTCTGCCTCCCAGCAATTTGCCTCCTTGCAGCAAACAACCCGTTTCAGCTTGAGCCTGATTAGCACAAGCGAGTGATTGTCAGTTGGATTGGCCTCCCGAAGATCAGCCATTTCAGGCTGCAAGGATTGCCATAGCCTATTGCCGCCTCCGCATGCCCCATTTTCCGAGGGGCCGGCATGTGGGCGGGGCTACCTTCGGTGTATAAGATGCACCCAAATTTTCACCCTCTTTTGGGGGGGGGAAAGTGCGTCTTATACTCCAAAAAATACGGTAATCATAAGCTGCCAACCTTCATAGACGATGTTTGCTTATTCGTGTCAGAAGCATCACAATTAAAATAAGGCATATAATGCCACATAAAATTTAAAATATAAGATACAAGATTTAAATATGTACAAGTTAAATAGATCTTTTCCCAGAAACTAGGAACATTGTGGTCTGTCACGCTGCCATGAGATTCTGAAGTGTGCACAGATTCGGACACAAAGGGCAGATGTACATATGTGGTGTTGTCTGCATGTCACCACAATCGCAAAGGGCAGAGGCCCATGGATAGCCCCATTTGTTCAGAGTGTCTCTGGATCTTATTGTATCCGTTTGCAGTTTATTCAAGACTAGCTGGACGCCCGTGCTTCACTACGAAACTATGTGCTCGGGCTTGATAAATTGACACAGCCTGAAACTTAAGGTAGAATCTGTAACTCCGTAGCATCAGAGTGTATTAATATAATGGAACTGGCAGTTGGAACAGAGGGAGAGGGGGATAGAATGTCCCAGCCCGCAGCATCCATTGGTATTCATCTGGCTAGCATCCTATCAGTGAGAGAGTTGAGGGGTGTTTGGAAACTCAAACAGTATTTGTTGTATGAGCAAGAAGGAGACAGGAAGGAGGCTGGGCATGGCTTAGCTCAACTGTTCTGTATTAAAGCTGCTTCCTGCTGTGAAAGTAAAACTGAAAGTGAAACTCCTCTCCTCTGCTTGTGTTTTGCATTTGGAACAGATTTCTTTTCAGGTGGGGAGGGGGAGTAGAACTCCTTAGCATCAGAGCATGTTAATAATAATATAGGAAATACTAATGCTCTGATGGTCATTTTAAAAAATCCTTTCTTAGTGAGCACCTAAAAGCCAAAAGAAACATATGTAGCAAATTTCAAGATTGTAGACTTTATGGTTCTGGAGATTTCGTGATTACGGCTTGAATGGTTTCGCTTTTATATATATAGATTTCCATCCTGCTCAACTTTGTCCAGACCCAGGTGCCAGATCCAACCATTCAGTGTTGGTTCTTTATAGTTTTCCATAGGTCCTCCATTCATAGATAGTATTTAAGGCTTATGGCTTCTTGGGATCTGATATCCTGACCTCCAGTATCTTCTGTATAAGAATGGGTACATAGAATAAATGTTATGTTTTATTCCTAACAGAAAACTATGGAGAACAAACAGGAAGAGTACTGCAGCAAAAATGAGCTGAAATCTTCTGAAATCTGTTCAGCTTTATTGAGCTCACTCTCTGAGAACCTGGAGCAGAACATCAAGAACGGAAGCTACTCCCGACCTGGTGGCCACCAGGAATTTCTAAATGACCTCCAAAAAGTGGAGAAACAATTCTTGGAGACACCTAAGAAAGGAATAATGGTACAAAATGATGAGGGTTGCTAAATTAATACTCATTTTGTCACCCACTTGAGAGCTGTGCCATCCTCCAGGGAGATTATTCGGTGGTTTACTTTGGCAAAGCTTCCTTTTCATTGCTGGCAACACTATATCGCTCCAGATTATTCTCCTTTTTCCCCCTTCAATCAGGCAGGGAAGATCCTGAAAGAATTCCTCCAGAGCAAGGAAAACATCAGCAAAACCATCCTTCAAAGTGATGTGAGCCTTCAAGAGAAGGACAAGGAAAAAGCAGGTAAAGGTGTTAAGAAGTTGCCAGATGATGCTGGGACTGTGACATCACATTTAATGATGTGACACTGTAACTGCCATCATTAAGCATCCCAGTCATGTGATGTTGTGACTTATTCCGGTCCCAGTTACTAGAGTTGAGCAAGGGCTGCCTATTTACTTATCACATTATTTGCAAGCTACCAAATCTTGCCATCTTGCACACCAGTTGCAGGAGTTTGTTCTTTTTTCCCCCCTGGTTTAGATGAAAAAATGAAGGCCAAAGCCAAAGACATAGAGCAAGAGCTCCAGAAGCAGGGAACGGAAATGTCCCAACAGAAGTTGGAGGACCAGAAGCAGAGGCTTGAGATGAACTTTCAGAAGCTAAAGGAGAAGATGGAGAAAGAAAGGGAACAGATGAAGGCAGAGATTGAGAAGATGAGCAAAAGCAAATTCAAGGTAGCACTATTTTCTTGGCAATGGTTTGTTGTAATTAAGCAGTCAGGTATTAATAAATATGCAGACCTTCAAAACTGAAAAGCAATGGATTTAGAACAGGTACGTATACCACAAATGCTTCTTTCTTTATTTTTGTCACATCCTCTCCATTTAATGTCATGTTGATAACATTGCAATACATTTATTTGCGTGGGTAAAATTTAAAGTCAGTGGGACCATATAAGAAAAGCGAATTGTACAATCGGTGGAAAAGGGAGCATCCAAAAGCTTTCTAGTGCTCAGAAGGAGGTGCTGTGAAACAGCAAGGAAGAAAAAAACTAGTCACCACAATTATATCACTTACAGAGTTACACAAGTAGTAAAGAAAGTTAAGGAACAGGGTGAAAATACGGAACTGTGATTAAATATAGAAAGGGCCAATCTAATGAAAATAGGTGTAGCAATTTGGCTTACAACAGTTCTTTTAGTCACCATTTAAATGACGACGACACTGCAAAAAGTGACTTTCGACCTTTTTTCACACTTAAAATCCTAAGGGTGGAGGTTCGTCCTCTGAGATTGTGGGTCGGATTCTGAACATTTTGTTACTAGGCTAAGTAACCTCTTCAGTAGAGTTTAGGGGATGTCATTGTCACTGTTCCTCTGACATAGTATTTATTTATTTATTGAATTTATATTGCCGCCTATTCGCACATGGCGATTCAAGGCGGCTTACAGAATATACATGAGCCTTGGTGGCATGAGCCTTGGTGGCGTAGCGGACTAAAGTGCTGTTAAAGTAGCACTTAGCTGCCAGCTGCCTGCAATTACTGAGAGTTCAATTCTCACCAGGCTCAAGGTTGACTCAGCCTTCCATCCTTCCGAGGTAGGTAAAATGAGGACCCGGTTTGTGGGGGCAATAAGCTGACTTTGTATAAAAAAGAACACCGCTTGGGGGGTGCCGAAAGCCCTACTAAGCAGGTATATACAAAAGTATGAAGGCTATTGCTTAAAAGCATTGTAAGCCGCCCTGAGTCTCCGGAGAATGAATGAATGAATGAATGAATGAATGAATGAATGAATGAATGAATAAATAAATAAATAAATAAATAAATAACATTATTTAAAACAATAAAACTAATTTAAAAAGAATCAAATAAATTAATATAATATAACAAAATCACCTCCCACCCAACCCCACCATCCTAACCTGATCTGCAAAGCTTGTGGCGGGTTTGTTTTCAGTCTAATAATGTTGATGTTTGCTCTGTCTGCAGGAACAGAAGGCTTTAGTTGCAATGGGTTTCTGGAAGGAAGCGAGCCAACTGAAGGAGGAGATCCAGAAGCTCACAAAGAAAAAGGAAGCCATGGAAAACCCAAGTTGGATCATCTCAATTTTTGCAACTCTGGAAAAAGCAGTCATCTGCGTAATGCCCCAAATTATAAGCACCCTTATAGTGGTACTTTTAAAATCGTTTAAGCTTTTCTAATCCAGAACTTCTGCATGGATTTTTTAAAAAAGATGTCCCCACTTTAAGAGTTGTATAACCTTACAGGAGTCAGGGTTTTTTTTTTTTTTAAAAAAAGAAGTAAGAAACTCAAAGTGGTCTAGAAGAGAAAAACAAGATAATTAGGACAATAATTAGTACCTGGACCTCGTTTGCTTTCAATCTTTCCCTGGAGGATTAAGTGAAGGATGCCGTATTTTTCTGGGTGTCGCATCACATGTCCAAAATATTTTAACTTTTGTTTTTTTTATGGCTTTGATTATTTCCCTTTGCTTTCCTAGACGGCTTATCACCTCCTCATTTGTGATTTTGTTAACCCAGTTTATATGTAACAGTTGTCTGTAAATCCACATCTCAAATGCTTCTAGTTTCTTCAAGTGGTTTTCTGTCAGAGACCAACTCTGTACTCCGTAGAGCAGGATAGAAAAGATGTAACATCTGACAAGCCTGATTTTCAGTCTTAGGCTTATGTTGTGACTGCAGAAGATCTTTTTTATTTTGAAGAATGCTGTACGAGCTTTCTCTATCCTTGTATTTACTTCCCTGATCATGTCCCAGCTTTCATGTCAATTAAAACCAAAGTACATGATCCTTTCAACTTTTTCTAATGGTATTCCTTCCGAATTTATCAGTGGTAAATTAATGGGTTCTTTGCTGACGACCATAATCTTGGTTTTTGAGGTTAAGCTTCAAGCCATATTTTTCAGAAATTTCTGAGACTCTATTGACGAGGAGCTGAAGGTCTTCATGCTTACTGGCAAGCAGAACTGTATCATCAGCATATCTTAAATTGTTGATCTGAACACCATTTACTTTGAGGCCAGCATCAATGTTTTCCACTGCTTTGTTGAAAATTGACTCAGAGTAGATATTAAATAACATCGGAGAGAGAATACAGCCCTGTCTGACCCCTCTTCGTATTTCTGTGTCATCTGAGTATTTTTGGCCTAGTCTCACATTTGCTACCTGATGCCAATATGATTCTTAAAGATGATTATGAATCATCTTTATGATTCGGATGTCTTCGTATCTAGTCCCAATTGTTTCAGGATTTGGAATAGTTTGCTGTGTCTTATTTTATCAAATGCTTTTTCAAAATCGATGAAGCACATGTAAACACTGTGACTGACATCTCTACAGCGCTGTACAGGAACTTGAATGCCGAATAGGGCATCTCGTGTACCAAGATAGTTTCTGAAACCAAATTGTGTGTTACTTAGACACTCCTCATTTTTGTTGTATATTTTTGTGTGAATTATTCTCAGGAATATTTTCAGGGCATGACTCATTAAGCTTATTGTTCTGTATTCAGTACACTTCAGTGGTGGGTTGCCCCCGGTTCACACCGGTTCTATAGAACCGGTAGTAAAACCGGCGGGAGGCTCCGCACACCAACCCCGACGTCATCAGAACGCTTCTGTGCATACACTTTGCTCATGTGTGCACGCAGCCCCGTTGCAAACTGGTAGTAAAGGTAAGTAGAACCCACCCCTGGTACACTTCTTTGCAATTATTTTTTGGGGGATTGTCACAAAGGTTGACTTTACCCAATCATTTGGTATCTTTCCTGTTTCATATATTCGATTGAAGACCTGCAGTAAAAATTTCTTCCCATTTTTCTTCCAGCAACTTTAAAATTCTTCTGGGATATGCTCAGGTCCTGTGGCTTTCCTTATTTTTGCTATTTTTATTGCGCGTTCAACCTCCTCCATAGTGATGTTTGGTCCAGTTGTTATACTTCCCATATCAATATCACCCCTGGTGTCTTCAAAAAGTTCTTCAATATATTCCTTCTATCTTTTTAGTTTTCATCCTCATCCAAGATTATTTTCCCCTCCTTGTCAACTAAGTTGTTGGTTTTCTTTTCTCGGACCTTAGGGATTTCTTTTAAGAAGCTTAAGATTTGATTTCAAAGCTTCATGAAAGGCTTCCTGAGTTGTGGTAAGTTAAATTCAGGCTTCATGTTAAGCTCCTCCTACGATCTTGATCGAATCAAGATCATGTGAAGTGTTAATTCCACTTTATAACGCCCTGGTAAGGCCACACTTGGAATACTGCATCCAGTTTTGGTCGCCATGATGTAAAAAAGGTGTTGAGACTCTAGAAAGAGTGCAGAGAAGAGCAACACAGAGGATTAGGGGGCTGGAGGCTTAAAACATACAAAGAACAGTTGCTGGAACTGGGGGTGTGTCAACCCTGAAGCTGGCCTGGCTGAAGCCCTCTTGGAGCTTTAGCCTTGCCACCCTGGAGCCGAGGGTTAGGGAGGGGGGATTGGAGATAGCTGAAGTTTTGTAGCCATAGTAAAATACTTTCTCTTGTGAACCAAGGTCTTTCTCACACCTGGCCGAAGAAAGGAGGAGTGTGTTCACCAGGCATGGGACAAAAAAATAAATATGAAATTGAAAAGTAAAACAGACTCCACAATTCCTGTCCTGCACTGCCCTCTGCTGGCTGCAGATCAGTTGGTAATGGTGACTATTATATACCTAGATCAGGGGGTCTACAACCTTAAACACTCAAAGAGCCATTTGGAGCCGTTTCCCACAGAAAAGAAAACACCGGGAGCCACAAAACCCTTCCCGTGCTTGACCATTTCTTGAGCGGCCACAAAACTAGCACATGTAGTTGAATTAAATGTTCTATTTTCTTCTGAAACTTTTCTTGGATTTATCCATGGTTGGCCTACCAGGGGTTGAAAAGCTCAATAAATTGCGTGCCGGTGGGTGTTGCACATTGGCAGTTGTGATGCATATTTTGAGAGACAGGGAGCTGTAGCAGAAGGGTGAAAGAGCCACATGTGGCTCCAGAGCCGCAGGTTGCTGACCCCTGACCTAGACATAAACTACTGTAGAGTTGTTTCAAAGATTGTTATGATCTCTTCCTCCCTATTGATACTCTCTGCATGGGCTGGATTTCAATGGCAGTAAAAGTTGTAATCCAAAATCTCTCAGGGGCAGAAGGTTGCCTGCAAGAAATATCATATTGGATGGGACAATCTATTACATGACAACTCCCCGGGGGGCAAGGATGGGCTTCAAAATTTTTAGGAAGGAGTTCTCTGCCTGGTTGCTGGATGGGCATGGCCATGGTGGGCGTGGCCTAGTCGGCCTCCTGCACCATGGTGGGGGAGGCGTTTTTGCCCTTCCCGGGCTCCGGAGGCTTTCTTTGAGCCTCTGGAAGGGTGAAAACGGCCTCCCCAGGCTCCAGAGGCCCTGTCGAACTTCTGGTAGGCCTGTTTTTCACCCTCCCTGAGCCTCTGCAAGTTGCTTAGAAGGGACCCTCCCTAATTTCTTAGACTCTAAAGGAGGAGACAGGACAATTGTCCTTTCGGACTTGCAAGCTTTGCAATAAAGCAGAATTAGGACATCTGGTTATGTTTCCTGTCTGCTGTACCTAGTAAGGCTAACAAACTCTCAGTGTTGTAGGTCACCAATTGTGGGTCAATTCTGTTCCATTGCAGCCCTCTATATCCCAAATACAATCATGCTGAAGAGAAGATGGTTATCTCTGATTTTCCCCTTTCCTGCTGATTTTAAGTTTTCCTGCCCTTTAAATGCATAGAAAGTTGACAGGCCAGGGGTTCGAGACCCGAGCGCCACAAGATGGGGTAAACTCCCATTACTTGCCTCAGCTGCTGTTCTAACAGTTTGAAAGCATGCAAATGCAAGTAGATAAATAGGTACCCCTTTGGTGGGAAAATAACAGCATTCCATGCACTTTGGCTATAGCCATGTTGACCACATGACCATGGAAACGTCGTCAGACGTTGACTCCCTCAGCTAAGAAATAGAGATGAGTGCTGGCCCCTAGAACCGGACACGACTGGACAGGGCAATCCTTTATCTTTAAATGCATAGATATCGTATAGTCCATAATTCCTTGTCATTTTAGTGCTGTCTGCACAGCTCACAACTGAGAAAGATAGCCCAGCCTTTTAAAGTCCCAGCCCTTCTCTACCGCAGGAAAAAGCAAACTGGTTGCTTTTTCCTGCTCCAGTCTATTATAATTTATCATCTACAGTAAGCCACCAGTGACATGGAGATTATACATATATATATATATTTCCCTTATCCACACAGCTTGCAAGGAAAATCTCCGGAGAACTGCTGCTATTATTTGTAGAGCATGCAAGAAGGTCTTTGCCACATTAAATCCTAACATATTAACGATGAAGCAATAGGGGATTATGGAGAAATTCCCCCCCCCCATTCTTTTCACTGCCAATTTTGGCCATGGGATTATTCGGCTGATTCTAATCGGACTCCTGTTTCTCAGAAGGGCAGTTAGCAATCTGCGCAGACCTGTCCGCATCCAGAATCTTCCTAACGAGCTTGCCTTAGATTTGAGCGCGCATTTTCCCCGATGAGCTGTATTTTCCCTTCCATAATTAGGAAAAGAGCCAGAATGCATGGGGTTTCCAATTTAGGTAGGCACCTGATGCGGGGAACAGCCATTAGGGACGTACGGAATGTATTCATGGAATGGAAGCCTTGCCAATTCAGATTGTCCATTTCCGCAGTCTGTGTCTACGTACTAAAAATTAAGCAACTAACCTGACTCTGATGAGAGAAAAAATAGAAACTCATTACACCTGGAGACTGCCATTAAACAACATGCTACGGTACAAATGAAGGGGGGGGGGGAATGAACAGCTTCATCAGACAAGGAGCCTCTAGACCGGCCTTTGCTCCCACAAGACCAGCAAGTTGCTTCTGGTGAAACCACAGCCGGTTGTTGATTTTTGATTTCCACATCTTTCTTTTGCAGAAATTGATTTTTATTCGGCAGGAATGAGGTATTTCTAGTTTAATGGAAAGAAGGAAAAGGACTAGGGTTGATATGATAGCAGTCTTCCAATATCTCAGGGGCTGCCCCAAAGAAGAGGGAGTCAAACTGTTCTCCAAAGCACCTGAGGGCAGGACAAGAAGCAATGGATGGAAACTAATCAAGGAGAGAAGCAACTTAGAACTAAGGAGAAATTTCCTGACAGTCAGAACAATTAATCAATAGAACGACTTGCCTCCAGAAGTTGTGGATGCTCCAACACTGGAAGTTTTTAAGAAGAGACTGGATAGCCACTTGTCTGAAATAGTATAGGGTTTCCTGCTTGAGAAGAGGGTTGGACTAGAAGATCTCCAAGGTCCCTTCCAATTTGGTTACTCTGTTATTCAGTTTCATAAAAATAGATGTTAAGCTAATTGATATCCTGGACACCTTCTGGATGCCCTCCCTCAGTGGGTGTTATTTCGAGTAGTTTTCACTCTTCATTTATTTATTTATTTTATTTTATTATTTTATTAATCATATTTCTATGCCGCCCACTCTCCGAGGACTCTGGGCAGCTTACAACAATCGACAGTATACTAAATAGCATATTGCCCCAAATAATCTGAGTCCTCATTTTACCCACCTCGGAAGGCTGAGTCAACCTTGAGCCGGTGAGATTTGATCCACTGATCTGCTGAACTAGCAGTCAGCTGAAGTAGCTGCAGTACAGCACTCAAACCACTGCGCCACCTCAGCTCTTTACAAAAGACAAACTGAAACTTTGATTTTGTATGTATGTATGCATATATTCTCTCAGAAGAGAATCCAAAG